TGGAAAGATAAGGGAATAATAGTAGCGACACTTAGGGTATTGTGTATTGTACATATGTGTACCATTACATTAATATACTTCTACAGTAATCTTTGTTGCCTCAAAGTCATTAATTATTCTTTTAATGAATTTGCTATCATGATTGCATTGCATGCTTGATTATTACGGAATGTAGACTAACAAAAAATTATCTTCCATACGCAAAACTCCATCTTCCATACTCCGTGGCGCAGTGGCCAAGGTATCGGCTTCGGCTTCGGGCTCGTGGGTTCGATTCCCACACGGGACAACTGTTTGTGTGACCCACATATAGTTGTTTCGCATCTGGGTGTTTGTCTGTGTGAAATTTATGTTTGTAAAAAAAAAAACGTCCTTACGACACAGGATAATGTTATCCTTAAGTAAGGGCAATATTTAAAAAAAAAAGAAAAAAATAAATAAATACATATATGACCAATAATTTTTTGACTACATTATTTACATTTTCAAAGGCGTGACTAAATTTTTTTTATTTTTGTTTTTTTTTTTTAATTTATTTTATGAAAACGCAAATACAGAAAAATTACAACACGAAGTTCCAAAATGCTATCATTACTTTTCAAAATTAATGAGATTTTATTTTGAGGTGGATTTCCTAGTTAATTGTAAAAATAGCCAAATAGTTGAACGTTCGTGTTTTTATTTACAGAAACTTTGTATTAACTTTCTCCGCGAGAGACCAGAGAATTCTCTGAATACAGAAATTCAAATTTTTGTTTAATTACTTTTCGTATTTTTTCTACAAATTTTAATGTTTCATCTTAAGTGCAGATATTAGCACTATAAAAAATTTGAATTTCTATATTCAGAGAGTTGACTTTGTCGCTGTATGTACCTATTTTGTGTGTGACAATGTTATAGAGTCTATTGCTTCCATTTACCCAACTTTGATTAAGACTCTATGAAGTTCATTAATAACATCAGCTCATGACAAAATAAATGTTCTTGTGACATTTAACTGGTAAGAGATTAGAGTATTATGTACAACGTTTTCTATTAGTTATTTTAGTAATATCTAGAATATTTTCTATCAGTGGCAGTAAGACAAATTTGAGCTATATTTGGCCGTCTCTGTCTATGCTAATGACAACTGTCAGCCACAGTTTAAAAGTTTTTATCACCTATGAAATTTCCTTATCGCAGCAAAGACATCGTTCCGCTTAGATTAATTTCATGGCAACACCATTGGATGATAAGTTTTAAGGTACAATAAAAGGACATCGAAATGGGGATAATTTCACTTTTATTTCGTTATCTGTGTTATGCTTCCTTTTTCTTATCTAATTTATGCCATTAAATGGTTCCACACTTAGTGGGCTACGAAGCAAAAAAGGTTAATTGTCAATTACACTTCCTCAACTACTTATACTATCTAATGATGCGATAATATCTTGTGCAAAATAATCCCAAAAAGAACAGAATACTATTAATATTACATCTAGGTTATACGTCCCACTATTTTGCTGTGGTAGGGTCTGTTTCTTCTGCTGCACTAGCGAGTAGACACGTCCAGAGATACACAGCACAAAGACTAGAAAGAATTGGCTTCTTTCTGATGAGAGGTGTTTGGGGATTAAAGGTGCTTTGCCAAACTTATTTAGAGGTTGGCAAAGCACCTGTACTCCCAAGGGTGTCGTATATGTGCATGAATGGTGGTAAACACTTAACAACAAATGAACAAAGGATGACTCCGTGGGGCAAGGTATTGGCTTCGATGTCGGCGGTCGTGGGTTCGATTTCCACTCGGGACAAGTATTTATATGGCCCACAGATAATTGATTCGGACCTGAGTGTTTTTCCACCTAAAATTATTACGTTATCCTACATCTTATATAGTGAAGGCAACGTTAAAAAAAAAAATAAGTAACTGCCAAGTATAACTATTTCTATTTAACCTTTTCCGTGATTTCATGCTCTATTTCAGAGGATTCGACCATTTTATGCAACTGCAGAAGCTACTGCGTGGATCTATCACATTAAAACCCTTTAACACGAGTATAAAGGTAGCAACTAGTTTTCGTATACTTTATTTACTATTTAAAACTAGCAAGTTTTCACTCGCGTGGCACACCTTTAAATACTATAACGCCCGGTTTCTGAAACACTGATCATCGTAGATGTCAACTAAGCAGCTGTCAAATGGATTTCAAATTACAATTTAGGTACCAAAACGATGGTTAAACTCTCTGAATTGACCAGCATGATCTTCTTTATGATTAGAATGATCAATTCAAAGAGTTTAAACATCCTTTTGGCAACTAGAATGAAATTTGAAATTCATTTGACCGTTGATTAGTTGACATCTACGTTGATTAGTGTTTCAGAAACCGGGCGTTATGGTATATTGATTCTATTTACGTGATTTTTTTTTACAAAATTTATTCAATAAATCTATGATTAGTGGTATTGTTTATTTCTTGTCTGCTCTCAAGATAAAACTTAAGGACGAATATACAAATGATTTATGACCGAAATTTAACATCCAGTAAATTTCACTAACACTGAATATGGATGGGTTTTCTATACACCGTTCTCGGTCATATATGCACTGAATTTTTTTTTATGTATCTATGAAGTCACATCAAAATCGGGTCAATTGTTTTAGAGACAGGAAAAAGCAAGAAACTACTTTTGAACTTATGTTTGGATCGTGGCGACTTGTAAACAAAGGTTTGATTGAAAAAGAATTCTTTATTTTTTATTTAAAAAACATTTAGTATTAGTAGACCTAACAGACATAAACATGTTTTTAGTACCGATATTCACAAATTTGTTTAAAAAAAAAAGATAGAATTTCCCTGAATTGATCTTAAGGTACGCTAAACAATTTAAGATATTCGTTAATTTTGGGAAAAGCATATTTATCAATATACGTACTATATACACAATCTAAATGATTCCATCCGGGATCTTCCACGAGGATACCTTCTTGAACATTAGGTAGCTGATCGATCAACCAAACTGTATCTCTCTTGTCGACTAGATAGTCGTTTTCGCCATAGATTATTACTACGGGAGCAGTAGTCTTGTTCAGATCATAACGAGGAGGTTGTAGCGTTCCATATACCTCCAAGTTCTTTGTCACTCCATAATCATGTTTACGGAATTCTTGAGAGATATAATTTTGACCGTAGTTAGCAAGATTGCGAGCAGATGTTCCCGCAGGAAAATTCTTGTACAGTTTCTGTAATGTGTAGGTCGCAATCGACCCTGGGTTGTAGGAATCGATTATTGAAAGCACGCCCCTACATATAGTGTTCGCAAGAACATAGTTCCTGCAGAAGAAAGAGCCAAGCTCCTGAATCAAAGATCCTTTCTGTAACACTTCCAACTCGTATGGTTTACTTAAAAATGGTTCTAAGAATTCATACAATTGTATAAGTAATTTTAAAGGCACAGATCTCAAATACTTTAGTCGAACAGCCGGTGCTAAACTAATCGAGATTCCAACTTTATTGCAATACAGTGGCAGCTCTGAGCATAAAATAAAAAACATCCTGCCACCTTGAGAATGCGACACGTAATTTAATTTTTCGGCACCAGTGTGAGTCAAAATGTAGTCAATTACAGCGGGAAGATCATATCTCCCCATTTCCTCCGAATAGAATCTCCAAAATTCCGAATCCGTGTTAGGATTTAATCGAACATGTTTCCTTCCGTAAGCATTGCCACGTACATTTCCAAGCCAGAGGTCATAGCAAGCGTCTGACAGAAGAGACGGTAGCCCGGTTTCAGGGTAAGTGTCCAACCACGAATGGGAGTCCAATAGTAAACCATGCATTAGCAGAACTGGAGGGAACATGTTTTGCTCTTGACATTTTTTACCTTTGGGAATACGAAATATCGACAAAATGTATCCATCTTCTGTGATCACAGTATGCTCTTCAGATGGGAAATCTTCATTACAAGAGAAATCAGTTGAGTTGCATTCAGAGCTTCTTAGTTGTCCTGTTTGAAGTTTGTTGTTCTCGTTTTGGGTTCGTGGTTCACTTGGGTTTGGAAAAACCAAGGTGAATAATAGAAAAAATAGTAAAACTAGAACGTTGCCTTGTAGTAACATTTCAACAAATAGTTAGAATATTATCATTCATTGTTTAAGTATTCCTGCTCAATGCTATTGTGCTATCTATTATTTAAATAATGTTATCTTGGGATGGTGTATTCTTTTTAGTTTAAGAAATTTTATTACAATTGGTTGAATAGAAAACATTATTGACTATGCTTGCCTTTTTTAAATTTGTAAGGACTTTATATAGCAATTTCACTTTCTTAATGATATTATGTCAGTTCATATCGCCGAATATTATCTATTGTAAAATGGCTAGTTCAGATCGCTTTATTCAAATATACTTAACAGCTTGGTTCTTATTACTATAGTAGTGTATATGTATGTACAGTGGTTTTTATAATGTTCGAAGTGGTAATTAGTATTTTTTTTTAATTCAAACCTGGCCAGCACTTGACTGCCATCCTACCTGATGGTAAGTGGCGATGCGGCCTTTGATGGTAAGCGCGCTAGCTCAGTAAAACCTATTCACTCAATTAATTAGTATGAGTAAATTAAGTTAATGTTTTGCTCCAAGAACCAATACAGATTCAAGAATTTAATTGTTATTTCATTTATTTATCATGCTACGAGTATGTTGTCCACATACACGTCCTTTATGTTATTAAAAAATCAATATAAATTTAAACCATGTTGGTTAAATAATTAATGCTATGGACAATTTTTATTATAAGCAAGTGTAATAAATTGTCCTATAAAATTGTATTAATTGTAATGATAGCGGATGACGCTTATAGCATAAATACCGTTCGTATGTACCTGCAATTTTTAGTATCTTGAGGAAAGTGACGAGATGTTACTGAGGAAAAGCACCTATGCGTTCATTATTTTAATCAACGCTCTATTTAAATATGTAAATGGACAGAATGAAGAGTCTAACGTCGAGCATGAACCAATGGACGAATATTCACAAAGAGCTCTCGACAATTTCACGGAATTATCGGGAAGCTATGGCTACACCTCCGAGGAACATACAGTTGTCACTGATGACGGATACATTCTATCGTTGTTCCGCATACCGAGGGGCAAGAAATGTCAAGGTCCGGTTCGACAGCCACCAGTTCTTCTCATGCACGGTCTTCTGCAAAGTTCAGACGCATGGCTGGACGCTGGTCCATCAACGGGTCTCGCCTTCCTCATATCGGACTCTTGCTACGACCTTTGGGCTGGAAACGTGCGGGGCACCTACTATGGAAGAAGGCATGTTCGTCTAGACCCCGACAGGGATTCGAAGTTCTGGGGGTTTTCTACCGAAGAAATGGGAACAATGGACCTCCCGGCCACGATCGATTACATATTGCGCTACACGGGTTCCAATCAAATCAATTACGTCGGTTTCTCGCAAGGCGCCAGGATCTTTTACATCATGTGTTCCGAAACGTCGGGGAATTGCGAAAAAGTTAAAGTTTTCATTAATCTAGCGCCAGCGTGTAGAACATTTTATTCTAGATCGATATCTGTTCGAGCGCTTACGCAGTTTTATGCGGTAATACTACCAGTTTTGACTACTCCCCGTGAGCTTGAGGTGTTACCGAGGGGTGGTCTGATCGAAACTGCTCTTTTTGATGTTTGCCAAAATAATATATTTGCAAGTACTATTTGTAGATTTATCCTGTATGTTATTGATTCCGTTCATCCCGGTTCCTTTTCAACCCAAACCATTAGGGTTTTATACGGTCACTTCCCTGCCGGGACATCTGCTAGGACGGCCGCTATCTATGGGCAAACATCCGTGGCAGGAAGATTTCAGAAGTACAGTTTTGGACCAAGTAGAAACCTGGAATTGTACGGCAGTATTCAGCCCCCAACCTACAACCTGAATCTCACGAACATTCCTGTAGTAATAATTTATGGTAAGAACGATTTCTTAGCAGATCCGAGAGATGTCAAATGGTTGGCCGATCAACTGCCAAACGTTGTTGAATTTTACCAAGTGAAAAACCCCCTGTGGACTCATTTTGACAATTGTTACAGTCAATCGACGTCGCGATCTATCTTACCTAAAATCAGTGAGTATTTGCGAAAATATAGCCAAGATTAAGAACTGTACTTGTTAATAAATAATGAACTTTATCATTTAAGAGTGTAATGAAGATAAGACTGAAAATAGTGAGGATTGAAAATAAGTGGGCGTGACCTTAAATTCGCAAATCTAGGTTGACTTGTTTCTGTTAAAATAATGGTAAATAACAAATAAGTGTACTTAAATTTTATTTTGTTTTTTCCAATAAAAAAAAAATTGGATTTAACGTATACTATTAAGAGTTTGGCTTTGTTTATAATGAAGTTTAAACAAAAGCCAAAACTTAATTTTGCTATCAGACTTACCAATGTTGGAAAATAAACATAACACAAATATAGAAAACCTAGCGACCCGCCCCGGCTTCGCTCGGGTGCATATAAACCTTCCTCTTGAATCCCTCTATCTAGTAATAAAATTACATCAAGATCCGTTGCGTAGTTTTAAAGATCTAAGCATTCATAGGGATAGACAGACAGCGGGACGACTTTGTTTCATACTAGTAGTGATTATCATCCCAGTATCCATCAGATATCGTTTCTACCATTCCATTCAAAATTGATTTTTCAATATTTAGACAAGTGAACAACCCTTAAACGGTTAATTGTAAATCAAATACTTTTGAATACAAAATTAAAAATAGAAATTACAACATTGACAAGGGGTGTTTCTACCTGTTCACAATAACATCAAGTCTATCTGTTATAGATTCATCCTCGACGAGGAATATAAAGTATAGTATTACAAAGAATCTATGTTATTTTGCATGGATCCGTTTCTCAACTCTGATTCCAACGCTTTGGGAGAGTCTGCAACCGCACCTTGAATCTTCAGTCTTTTGTGTTTTTACTGATATAACCAATTTTACTGATATTTAGGGTATTTGAACGCGAAAGTTAAAATGAAATAGCGATAACATCGATACAAAATTTTGAATTTCAAAGCGATATTTAAATTCACTAAAAATTAAGTACACGCGATATTATTCGTGCTAAAATTTAAATTAAACACGATATAACTAAACAATAAGACGGCTGAACTCACCTTAAACGATGTATGTACCGACCTAGTTTCGGATCTATCGGGGGACCTTCATCGGTACATGCATCCATTAAACGTGATTTCAGCCGCCTTATTATTGCGATAATAATGTTTTTGTTTTATGTGGGGGGGGGGGGGGGGGGGGGGGGGGGGGCGAGCTGTTGTTAAGTTATAACCGCCGCCCAATGTTTAATAAAGTGGACCCCGGTTACCTCACTCATCAAAAGAAACGCAAAAGTAACCTTCCACGTCACGTCGGTCTTCTGTGAGGTCGTGGCACCTCCGGACAGACCTGCCCATTCTTGCAACAGAGAAGATTGCGTTTTCTTGACGAAGGTTCCGCTAATCATATATTTTTTAATTGTCCAAAGCTTAGAAATTCCCTCTATGATTATATTCCTTATAACATTCCTCGTCCTGTAAATGTGCCTTATTTGTTAACCTTGGTTTTCACTCCGTTCATAAATATCCTGTGTAACTTTATAAGTAATAATAATATAAGTCTATAAACTAACTTAATGGGGACTTATGGTAATGGTTAATAATAAATGTTTTTTTTGGTTCTTGTTGTAGACTCGGAAGTATCACACAAACCGGTTTTTTTTTTCTTTTTTGTAACTCATTAATAAGTGTGACTCCCATGATTGACACGACATTGGCAGAATTCTTTTAAGAGAGGCCATAATCAAAGAAGAAGAAGAAGACTGCGTCGGACTATCACTGTTGTATCACGAAAGTGTTAATAATTTTATACGCCCGGTATAATCCGGATAAAAAAATAATTCAGCCCATGAATGTTTATCTTGCTGCATAGTTGTCGTAATGTTATTAGTATGTTACCAATAGAAAGTCTATCACAAAAGCGCCTGCAAGATATACGAGTGTGGTTACAGCTATTTGAAACGCTTAAAAGGGCGCAGGCGCCAGTAGAAGATGTATGCTTTTAAAAAAATTATAATTAAAATATGTTTGATATGGATTTATAAGTGTTAAGAGCGCCTGCAAGATGTGTGAATGTGATTACAGCTATTTTAAATGCTTAAAAGTGCGCGGGCGCTATTAAAAGATATAGTAGTATGTTTTTATGAAAATTTACATTTAAAACTTGTCGCATAGTATAAAGAAATACGTGTATGTAACGACCCTGAAGTTGCATTGTTATTATAAATAGAAAACATTTAATGATTGTCCCCTAGTAATGCAATTAGCTTATGCGCTAGTATAAGACATTTCCAAAAGAATAAGTTCGGGAAAGCCGCGGTTAAAGATGAGGAATTTCAGGCATAAATTGTATAAAGGCGGAAAAATCCTAAACTTGTTTGTGTCATCTATCTCTCTCATTATAGGCTAAGGAGCCTAGAGCACCTGTTAATAATTTTAAAGTTAAATTATACTTCATTGTACACCTAGCGACGTAAAGTATTTATAATTAAAAGACACATCGGTACATCAGGCGGTACTTATCGCTTAAACAGGGATCTCCAAGCAACCTTAGGGCAGAGGATTCATTATAAGAAGAAAACGACAGGGGTGTACAAAATCCCGTCCGCCCGCCCGGGTTACCGCCCTGACGTGGCGGAGGGGCTTAGAAGCTGTGGCTTGGTCACCCACGGTGAAGCTGAGAGGAACCCACACTGGGACGGCATGCGTAGGCATTTCCCCTACGTCAACAAAAAAGGGATGCACTAAATAAATAATAAGAAAAGTACGTACATAGAGACAATTATAATATTATAAACATATAGATAATTTTGATGGAGTGACGACCTGTGCCAGTGTGCGGGAAGTCAATAGATGTAAGTGGCTCAGGATTGTACTTCCATGCAGTCGGTGGGGGAGGCCTATGTTCAGCAGTGGACTTAAACAGGCTGAAATGATGATGATAACCATGATAGTTATTTTACAATTTTTTTAAGTGTAAATTGTATTTTTTTTAAGTTTTACCGACTGCCACCGCATACGGACATGTACTGTACCGCAGATAGCTCGCCGACCTTTAGAAACTGTGTAGGCCTTGTTTAGCTCAGTCACCGTATGAAAGAAAAGTATAATACTTTCACTTCACACTGTTTTTTTTTTATGTCAAAAATTGCCAAACGAGCAGACGGTTCACCTGATGTTAAATAAATACCGCCGCCCATGGACATCTGCTACAGCCGAGGGTTCCAGATGCGTTGACGATCTTTGCAAAATTGGGCTCCGGCCACCTCACTCACCAGACGAAACGCGAAAGTATTATACTTCCACTTTACGCCGGTCGTCTGTGTAACCGTGCTTCTTTCCCGGACGATCTGCATTGATACCGGTAGCGGAATTCGCAGATAGAGTAGTTACGAGAGTTCAGAAGTGGAAGACGTGAGTACAAATTGCTGTATATGTGTACAGAATTCGAAATGAATCCTCTAGCAATAAATTGCAATATTTTAATCTTCTTACAACGTTCAAGCAAGCCTTGTGAAATTCATTCCCCTAAAGATATTTTATTGTTGAACGATTGAATCGCATCTGAAAATAGCAATGTTGCAGATATTCAGTTATTTCGTAATAATTTTTATCTTTTAACAATTACTGTCATAAATCTTCTTTATAATTACTTTGTTAATTAAGCCAGCGGAAAATGATAAACTTATAACAAATCAAGAGCAGTCTTTTCGTGCAAGATTGGATAGACTCGATTGGAAAAATACCACGGCCTAACAAATATATTAATTAACATTAGGTTAACCGCCAACTCAATTGCCACTTTCTCACATAAAATGATAACAGATAACAGAAAAGAACGGGAATTGCATTTCCTACTTTTCTACCTGATGAAAGTTTAAATACGTGAGATTTTTTTTCATTTACGGATGCGAATTTATGAGGTAAATTTTCCAAAACCTTGTCCGACTATGCCCATTATTTAAAACTGTTTTCTGTCGAAAATTTTGTCATAAATTCGTGGCCTAAACTAATGTTTAAATTAAAGTGAAAATAAAAAATAATCATTAATATGTAGGATGACGTAATTCTGTATTAACGACGCATTATGCTAACTATTACTAAAATTAAACATTGTCAAGTACATCCAGACGAAAAATTTATAGAGGTATTAAATATTTATATCATACCATGACATAGCGACCCGGGTGAGAATTCAACCCACGGCCGACGGTATCAATCGTGCAGCTCTGGGACTTAGCTAACTGAAACATCAGTTCAGCCAATACCGTTTTAATAAGGGATATTTAAACTTCGCAACTTTAATGAGAATTGGCCCCTTAACTTCTGAGTTTGAAATTTGTGAAAGAATGGTTACAATAGAAATTAAATTCCTATCAATGCAGAGTTTTGAGAACTTCTAGAAAGTTTTAGGAAAAATTACTTAAATTAAACCTTTTTAATGAATAATTGAATTGATAAGTTAAGTCTCTTAGTATTTTGATAGCCTATAAATATGTATAGGCTATATATATGTTACTGGCTATATTAATTTAATCTCGAGATCTTATACATATACTAGCTGGCCTGCGGCAAATATCTCGGGTTCATAATAATTCGTTTTAACTTTTAACATAGCGCCATCTTTTAGATACCTACTCAATCCAGCCGAGTAATTTACCTTACATCGCCATCTGTTAAAATCTTATGGAACTCACAGATGACTATAACTGTTTGCCATCTAATCAACAAATAATTTGCAATAAAATATCCTATTTTTCACGATGGATCAAACTATACACGGTGTGCAAATTTGATCAAAATCGGTTAAGTAGTTTAGGAGTTCATCGTGGACAAACAACGTGACACATAATTTATATACAGCGTGTCGTTACCATCGCGACAATAAATGAACACACATATAGAGGATAACTTTTAAAAATTGTATTAAACATTTACATTCTTTAAACATCAATATTTACCGAGTTATAAAATTTTCCAAAACAAAGAATTTTAGAACACCCTTACGTATAAAACTGTAACGTAAAGTTCATTTGTAAAGGTTACAAAGCATATGAATGGGTTGAATGAATTTAAAAGAGACAAAACATACTGTTAGAAGGAGAGGCTTGTAATGCGACGCTGTGGCGCGAGTTGTATAGGATGTTACAAATTTTGTTTCTTTTTTTACTTAATTAGTTTGTTTGAAAAATATATTTTTTTAATTATGGATTTTGTCTAACGTTAATATTTTTTTATGATTATTGGTAAGAAGCGTTAGACGTGTGTTCATTTATTGTCGCGATGGTAACGACACGCTGTATATTAAGATAACCCACAGTTGGACAAAGAAGCGGACTTTTATTGGATTTTAAGTTTAAAGGTTGGCCATGGTGAACTGAGCCTTGAGCGTTACAAAATTTGTTGTTCGATATCGTTCGTGTTTTATACAAAATTGAAGAAAGTTATTCATATAGGAAAGTTATAAAATGATTTCTTAGATTTAATGGACTCTATCTTACAACTAACTTATTACCAAAAAATCTGTGAGTGCAACTCACAAAGTATTTTGAATTGAAGCTTAAGAATAGAGTACTCTTTGAGAGAATTTAGATCAGTAGCAGTATTTTAAATTTAGGTTGCGGTGGTAGGGCCATGCAGCAGCCCCGGCTGTTGCATGAATGGGCAGGCTCGTCCGGGTAAGTGCCGCGACCTCACAGAAGACCGGCGTAAAGAGGAAGTATAATAATTTCGCGTTTCGTCTGGTGAGTGAAGTGACCGGAGCACAATTTTCAAATGGTTGTCAACGCATCTGCAACCCTCGGATGTAGCAGATGTCCATGGGCAGCGGTATTCACTTAACATCAGGTGAACCGTCTGCTCACTTGGCAACTTTTCACATAAAAAAAAAATATTGGTTTAATTTTTTAAGGTTTAACTTTTTACAACATAAGTTAAAAAACAAGTTAAAAATATATTTTACTTAACGTAAATATTTTTCCGTCTTCGTGTTTTCATTTACAATTTTTTTGGTAAATAAAATAGAAAAGAAATGTTTATGGCTTACATTTTATTCCACCGATACTCACAACTTCTTTCAACACCAGTTTTCGGCGTACTTGAATTTTTTTTATTGACAACAGTTGTAAATCGAGCAGCGACTTCACCTGATCTTAGGTGAATAGATGGGTCCCAGTTACCTCACTCACCAGACGAAATACGATAGTATAATACTTTCACTTCACGCCGGTTTTCTGTTAGGACGCGGTACAGCCGAGCCTGCCCATTCGTGCAACAAAGCATTTGCGCGGCATTACCACACTAAAATTGGTAATTTATTAATTAGCGAGAAAAATTGTCACACAAACTAAAAATGTACATCGCGGTGTATTATTTATATATATTTTTACTAAAGATTTGTAATACACATAATAACATATAGACATGGAACGCTCGGATCAGAGCAAGTATTAGTTATGGTGCCTTCTTCCTAGCCTTGGCAATATGCAGGCCTACGTTTTCGATATTTTTTTTACCCAGTAGAGTGACTTTACCTTACCGTACATTCTATTCATGTTAGGTGCTTCGATAAATAAATAGCATTCAGAACAATATGAATTTATTACAATTTACGAATACATGATTAAAAAATAATAAAATACATTTAATGATAATATACATTTGCGTTATAGACGTCATTCAGTACTACGTTTTATATGTAACTATATTTTTCCAAGTACTGTTTTATTTTAGGATAAATCAGTTGAACCGTGAACTGGCTGTAACTCATATCAAAGTGATTCCAAGTAGATCTCGTCACCTCATGAGATTCTACCAAATCCGGCAGCTGCGTCGCTAACCATTTCGTATCCCTCGGATCGACTAAGAAGTCGCTATTGCCATAAATCAACAGTACAGGCACGTTTGCACGACTCAGATTATAAAGAGGCGGGAATACGCTGCCGTAAATCTCAGAGTTCTTCGCCAGCCCGTAGTCGTACTTTTGAAATCTGCCGGACAGCCTGCCCTGTCCATAAAACGCGAGATTACGGGCAGATGTCCCCGCGGGAAAATGCCCATAGAGCACCCTTAGGGTTTGTGTCGCAAACGACCCTGGATCATAGGAATCTATTGCGAAAAAAAAGAATAGACAAAAAGTGTCAGCAAAAGCCGGATCCTTGCAAATAAACGAAGCTAACTGCTCAACTGGACCACCTTTTCTGAGGATTTCTCTCTCGTGAGGACGGCGCAGGAATGGCTCGATAATTGCAAAAAACTCGAAAAAATACCTCACCGTCACCGATCTCGTGTACTTAAACCTCACCGCTGGCGCAATTGTTATGGCAAATCTTATCTTATCGCAGTACTCTGTCTCGGAGCAGAGGATGTAAAATATCCTGCCGCCTTGGGAAAAGCCGATGTATATGATCTCACAACTGTCGGTGGTGTTTAATATGAAATCGATTGTGGCGGGGAGGTCCAACCTTCCCATCTCATCGTTGGAAAAATCCCAGAACTCAGAATCAGTGTCTGGATCTAATCGGAGATGTCTCCTTCCGTAGTAAGTGCCGCGCACATTCCCTACCCAAAGGTCGTAGCAGGCGTCCGATATGAGGAAGGCTAGACCCGCTGACGGGCCAGCATCCAGCCAAGAGTCGGAACTCTGCAGAAGTCCGTGCATTAGCAGAACCGGGGGCTGTCTCACCGGACCTTTACACTTCTTGCCTTTCGGTATGCGGAACAGTGATAGGATGTACCCGTCATCGGTAACGACCGTATACTCCTCAGCGGCGTATCCATGGTTGTTTGCGAATTCCGTGAAATTGGCCAGCGCGTCTGGTGGATACTCCTGGGAAATTCCGTTGTCAGTAACGAATGTTTCACTTTCACCTGCTACAATTTCAAGTAAGACTAAGAACCGTAGTAACAGTGGTACATTAACTACTTTTTTCGAATGCATTTTGTTGATAAATGCTGCGATGGTGTTAGTGGTGCTTTTATCTTTTGCGTGTAGTGTTATCTATAATTATAATCATATTCATAGCTTGTACATACAAGTGCTACGCTGATAAGGAGACATTTATATTTATGAATGTATTTTGAAGTAAAGTTTTATTTTGATGTGAGAAGGTGGCAAGCGAGTGGCTGGTGGATCACCTGATTTTAAGTGATAACTGCCGCCTACAGACATTGCAACACCCGCAGGATTGCAGTTGCGTTACCACCTTTTAATAAAGTGGGCCCCGGCTACCTCACTCACCGGAAGAAACGTAGCAATATGACAAATCCACTTCACGTCGCCCTTATGTGAGGTAGTGGTAATTACCCGTGTGGACTAGCCCGTTCGTGTAACAGAACTGAAACGAGAGTGTTGCGTTTCAAACGAAACTGTTGCGTGGCCCTACCATAGCAAGTATGCAAATATTAAAAGGAAACCTTAAAATTTGTTACACGTGAAGAAATCTTGATTCACCCAGCCTCAACTTACGTAAATAGATTTTACTGTAGCACGAATGAATAGGCTCATTTCTTTAAATGCAGGGCGTCACAGAAGTGTGAAGTAATCGACTCCACTCATTTCAAGTATTTTTTTTAATTTAGAAAACTAACTGTACTGAGTCGTGGTCCGTGCTCTTATTTGATTTGCCTTTTTTTTTGTACCGTTATTGCCGCGTTTATCAACTGGCCGATAGATGGCGGTATGCTAAAAGTAGAAATGTAACAGACCCGGTAGATTTTAATATCGGCGCATTGACGAAGTATCGCGATGGCAGTAGCTAAATATATAAATGTATGGACCCGGTAGATTTATAGACGATTGCGCGTATATATCTATATATATATATACGCCCGGTTTCTGAAACAATGATCATGGTAGAAGTCAACTAATCAGCTGTCAAATGGATTTTCGATCAATTTCAAGTGTTCGCAGCTAAGACTTGATGTTAATTTTAACCAGTTCATCCACACTAAAACTGTACCAGCCATTTTAACTCTGCCTTAAAATATCAAAGACTGGATTTGGGGCCAAATATAGCGGCCCCAATAAAATCGTTTCCGTTGTTTCATTCATGGATTGTATTTTAAGATTTCCATTCCAATGCCTAAAACGAGATTCGGCGTATTGGCTGTGAGACTTGAAAACCACTGCTGGTTTAGATGGCCTCGCACGAAGCATTATGCAGTTGTCTCACATTTGTTCTCTGTCTCTCTCTTTCTAAACTTAAACTTAACTTCAGCTTAACCGGCACATTGGGTACAAAAAGTTTGGAGGAACGTAGATAATTGGCCCATTGGGCGTGCGTTCTTATGTTACAATGTTTTTGCTAATCTCTGCTCTTTACATGCACTATTATAGTTTGTACATAAAAAGGACGAAAAGTTTTTCCATGCACAAACTGTTATCCGATAACGAGAAATGGTAATATTCGAACCATCTACCATCGGCGTCAGCCAATCGATTTATGACTACACACATCGAGATATCAAATCAATCTTTATACAGCGTGTCGTTACAATCGCGACAATAAATGAACACACGTCTAACGCTACTTGCCAATAATCATAAAAAATATAAGCGTTAAAAAACCCATAATTAAAAAAAAACATTTTTCAAATAAACTAATTAAATGAAAAAGAATAAAAATTTGTATCACCCTATATTACTACAACTAACTGATTCATACATTCAGAGACTTTTTCATTCGTTGCAATAATGAGTAAAAAGATTGAGAAAACTATTTTTTTATAAATATTTAAATAAATACAATGCACCTAAACATAACTTTACATTTGGGAGACAACACATTATTTTGAATTATTTAGTTTTATCATTTGTATTTAATTAATGACAAAGATGATTCGTTGACCTTTGTCTACCTGTGTTATGAAGTTACAAATATTTCTTTTAAAATTTTCTTATTAATTTTACCTGAAATATCTTTAAAAAGTCACGTTTCAATCTTTTTTTCATTTTGATGGAAGAACGCAATGTGTCATCGGTTGCATGAAATCGGTAGATGTGCCACATTATGCTTTATAACTAGTAAATATATAACACTCAGAATTGCCTGACCAATAAGTTTTTTAATCTGTATGACTTTTATATTTTTAGCTCCAGTCACTTACTCAAGCTGAATCTACTTAGCAAAGTGGAGAAGCGTCTGGGCGCTTTAAGACTCGGGTTTGAATCTAGCAGCGCCGAAAAAATGATAACCCTATTATTCGACAACATATCACATTTTGATTTTAGCCCATTTAGCTTTGGTGGTAGAGCCACGCAGCAGCCTCGGCTGTTGCACGAATGGGCAGGCTCGTCCGGGTAAGTACCACGAACTCACAGAAGACCGCCGTAAAGTGGAAGTATGACAAATACTTTCGCGTTTCGTCTGGTGAGTGAGGTGGCCGGAGCCCAATTTCCAAAACGGTTGTCAACGCATCTGCAAACCCTCGGGTGTAACAGATGTCTATGGGCGGCGGTATTCACTTAACATCAGCAACTGTTTAGCAACTTTTCACATAAAAAAGGCACACCAGCCACTCGCTTGCCACCGTCTCACATTAAAATAAAACTTTACTTGAAAATACATTCATAAATTTACATGTCTTCTTATCGGCGTAGCACTTGTACAAGCTGTGAATATGATTATAATTACAGATTACACTACACCCAAAAGATAAATACACCACTAACAAAACTTTATTCAAATATTGACTTCAGACATATAGACCAATAACGATATGTGTGTTAAAAGATCTAATGTAATTGAAAAAACTGTATGTCTGTCTGTTTCTCCTTCAGTCCTTCTGTATCTCATGAACCGTGATAGTTAGACAGTTGAAATTTTCACGGATAATGTATTTATTTATTTACACTTTATGCCCAATCTAGTACAAAGGCGGACTTAATGCCAGTACGGTGATGGTACGGAACCCTTTGTGCGCGAGTCAGACTCGCTCTTGGCCGATTTCTTTTTAAAAACACAAGGGGTGTTTTTGAAGTTATACCTCTTTTGATGTTTCTTAATTTTTGATTGTCACGTTCGAGTTAATTGTAATAAATTAAATAAATAGGTACAAACGTCGTCAAACGACACATGAAGTCAACAGCCCCTGATATTTTAATTTTTTACATCACCGATATTAGTTTTGCCTTTGAATTTGACTTCTAAATGTTATTTCATGATTCTTTTCTACCGACAACGTGTTTTGAAAACAATGACAAAAGAAAAAAAGATGTAAGTTCAAGAATAACGTAGATTTTTTTGCTGCGAAAAATTTATGATATTTAGTGATAGTCTTCTTACTACAAAGAGTGCTTTAATATTCATATACATCGTCTCTCATTTAAAAAATAACAGCAAATGGGAATATGAACAGGTGTTAATTAAAATTTTAGGTCACGGAATATAAAACCGGTGTACGTCACTAAAAATTTTTCATTTCAATTTTCATGTAAACACTCGAAGTGGTTCAAGATAGCAAGCAGCTTACTAAAAGTAAATCTGTTAACATAGAGATGTCCATTACTTTCAAATGTTCTGTCAGATGCAAATCATTTGAAGATGAACTAAAAATAAGAAATTAACTAATTTACAATTAAGTAAAAATTTAAAGTCCACCATATTCTCACCAAATTATTTAAATGTTACTCATACAAACATATATAGTTATTAACTTAAAATGAAATAACACATCTATTTCAATATACTTACTACTTATATAATTTATTTACATATATCGATTGTTCTTTAAACAATAACATAGGTCAAGGAATTTAAGACAGACTTAACCAGACACAGTGAGGAGCCTTCAGGTATGTTGGATAAGTTTATAACACGTATTATAACACGTTTTATTAGGTTGGTACATTTGTGTGTATGTATGCAACGGATTCTTTAACCGTGACTCTGAACACATTCAAAATGTCAAATCAAATTGAAATTTTGTACACTTATCAAGGACCGATGACGTTTTTATGTGAAAAAGTTAAACTAGCCGGCGGTTCAGATGTTAAGTGTTAGTATCAGTAAGTATAGTACTAAGTTAGATGTTAAGTAATAACCGCCGCCCATGGGCATTTCCAATATCTTTAAAGTGGGCCCTAGCTACCTCACTCACCAGACGAAGCGCAGAAGTGTAACACTTGTACTTTACACCCGCATGTCTTCTGTCAGGACGTGGTAATAACCTTGACGGACCTGCCCATTTGTGCGACAGCAGCGAAGACTGTTGCGTGCTCCTACCACAGTTTTTTTTTGGTTATATACAAACGCGTGTGTTTTATTTTAAATACCGTTCGTAACAATGAAACATGTTTACTTTAAGAATTTTTTCGCTTTATATTTGTTCATAAATTTCTTTTCGTACACCTTATAGAGATCATGGAGTATTGAGCTATCTAAGTAGTGTTAACGGGGCAATAAAAAGACGATGACAGTTTCACTAATTGTCGATTAAGATTAAAGTACCCTGGCAGTTTTTTTTTTTTGGTAAATTATGTATTTTGGAAATAAAAAATAAAGAGAATGATCTGGTATAGAAAAAAAGTTAAAAAAATTGTAAAAAAGTAGTGTGTAAATGATCGTCATACGAACCGCGGCCGTCTGTTTTGGGGCCGCCCGATTGCCTACCGAGCTATTATAACTTTTTTTTTTGCGGCGAAATTTACTGTCATATTCGAATGATATATTTCATTCCCTGAAAACAGGGATAAAAGGATATTTTCTAAAAATGAAACCTGGCTAGATCGATTTTTCGCCCCCAAATCTACGCTCATACTAAATTTCATGAAAATCTCTGGAGCCGTTTCCGAGATTCCGATTACATATATATATACATATACAAGAATTGCTCGTTTAAAGGATAAGATGAGACATTTCATTTAAATATTATTTCTGATTACAATATACAACATAAAACTAATAAAATACTTCGTAATACTAATGTTCGTATTACTTTTTATTTCGTAAAACTATGTTTTTCATTTTTAGGAGCAGATTGTTGTTGTGTATTTTTAATTGATTTTTAAGACCCGAATGCCGTAGTGGGTAGTGTACTGCCAGAGGGTGTGGGTGCAATCTCCACAACTGGAAAAAATATTGTGTGATGAACTTGTGTTTTTCTAATGTCTGGGTGTTTATATATGTGTGATATGTATTTATTTACCAAAGAAAATTAAGTTTAAGTATGTATATTCGTTATTCAGTACCCATACTACAAGTGTTCCTTAGTTTGGGACTAGAGAACGTTGCGTAAAAATGTGTCGTAAAAAAGTACATTTATTTATAACCTGAACCAATTTAATCATCTGTGATGCTGTGATGAATTTATCCATACATAAAATACTAGCTTTTCGCTTCGCGGCTTCGCTCACGCTGAAGCCCATAAATAAATATCTTTCTCTTAAAACTATATATATATATTTTTTTAAAGAAAGATATTTTCAACCCTTTACCCTTCCAATTAAAAAATAGCCTATGTCCTTCCTCAGGCTCTAGACTATCTGTGTACTCAATTTCATTTAAATCGGTTCTGTAGTTTTGGCGTTTTTCAGAACCAAGCGAGACAGACGGACAGAGTTACTTTCGCATTTGTACAATCTATAATATTAGTATAAATTTTATATTATCTACCTTGTGCTATTTACTAAAAAAATATATTTGGTTAAATAAATGTGCGCTGAGTAAAAAGTTTGGAGTTAAAAATTAAGTGTTATTCTTTTTATTTATTTTTTTTAATTTGACAAGCGAGCAACCAGTTCACCTGATGCGGCCCCCAGTATTATAATTATTATAGTATTGTTTCACTTAATGCTGGTCTTCTGTGAAGCCGTTGCACTTCCGAGGATGAGCTTGCCCATTCGTGCGACAGGAGAAGCTGTCCCGTTGTCCTACCACAAAATAACAGTAGTTAACTTAACAACAATTTCATTTAATCTTATCCTTTAAACGAGCAATTCTTGTATATATATATATATATGTAATCGGAATCTCGGAAACTGCTCCAGCGATTTTCATGAAATTTAGTATGTGCGTAGATTCGGGGGCGAAAAATCGATCTAGCTAGGTTTCATTTTTAGAAAATGTACTTTTATCCCTGTTTTCAGGGAATGAAAAATATAATTCGAATATGACGGTAAATTTCGCCGCTAGAGAAAATGTCATAATAGCTCGGTCGGTAATCGGGCGGCCCCTAAACAGACGGCCGTGGTTCGCGTCACGATCATTTACACATTTATTTTTTTACTTTTTTTTCGATTCCAGATCATTGCTTTCTTTATTTTTAATTTTTTGTCGATTTGTTATTTTGTTATTTCTTTCCCTTTGTTTTTAAAGTTCTTTCTTTTGTGAAAAACATCAGTTCATATTTTCTTATTATTACGTAATTTCCAAAATACACGATTTACCAAAAAAAAAACAAACCAAGCAAAGCTCGGTCCTCCGGGTACTTGTAATTAAATTATTAGACGCAGAAAACACAGTTGATCTTGCAATAAATTACGAAGAAGTTTCTCATAAGGTTATCTATCAACTCGCAACCAGACCTGTTTAAAAACAAGATTTAATATAAGACGAGTGCTTGTAAGTATAAATACGGTCAGTATCGTTCGGGTAATCGTTGTATTCAAAGCTGCCGTTTATGTGGATCAAGAATCCGTTTTTGTCGCGCGTAGTATACAATGTGATTTAAATAGACAGTACACGTTTCATACTCACTAACAAGAATGAGGATTTCCGAATCCAGGGAGCAGTTCTTAAAGAAGATAGCGTCGAAGATATTATGGTGCGTACTGTATTTGATGCTCTTTAGACTGGCCGTGCAAAACGTCAGCGGAGTGCTAAGAAAATTCCTGCTCACGAAGTCCGAACCGAGCGGCCATTTGCTTAACTTCACCGAGTCGGCCGCAGTTCACAGGTACCGTGCGGAAGAGCATACCGTGGTCACTGACGACGGGTACGTCCTGACCGTGTTCAGGATCCCGAAGGGCAAGAACTGCCGCGGAGGAGTACGGCAGCCGCCCGTCCTGATAATGCACGGTTTGCTCTTGAGCTCGGACAGCTGGCTGGACTCCGGCCCCCACGCCGGACTGGGGTACCTCATCAGCGACGAGTGCTACGACCTTTGGTCGGGCAACGTGCGTGGCAGCCACTACTCCAGGAAGCATTTGACTCTCAACCCCGACACAAATCCCCAGTATTGGCAGTTCTTCCTTCACGAAGTTGGCGCGTACGACCTCCCGGCAATAATCGACTACATACTGCATAGCACTAAATCGCAGAAGCTGATCTACATTGGCTACTCACAAAGCGGTATGTCACTACTCATAATGTGCTCGGAGAGGCCAAAGTTTTGCGATAAGCTACGGCTCGCTATTCTCCTGCACCCCGCCTCCAGAATGACAAACACTAAATCTAAGGCCTTCAGATTGATAACGAAAATCTACCAGTCCATAGAGCCTTACTTAAGTAGCACTCTCGACTTTGAAGCGTTCCCCAAGGAGGGGAAGTTGCAGACGACTACAGCCAGTTTATGCCAAGATTTTTACGTGGCAGACATTGTGTGTAGATCCATTTTGAATCTGATCGACTCCCCACATCCCGGATCAATCGACGTGTCAACGATTCGCTCCCTGTCCGGACACTTCCCTTCGGGGACGTCCGCCAAGACTTTGGCATGGTTCAACCAAATCTTAAACGCGGACAGTTTTCAGAATTTCGATTATGGTTCCACGAGGAACCTCGAGGTTTACGGTAGCAGGCTTCCTCCTCCGTACAATATTAATGCTACCAATGTCCCTGTAGTGATTATTCACGGTGAGAACGATAACTTGGTGTCGTCGAAGGACATACGATGGTTGAAAGATCAACTGCCCAACGTGCTCGAGTTGTTCTTTGTCAAGGATCCATTGTGGAACCATTTCGACGTGCCCTATAGTCGGCACACGAAAAAATTGTTATTCCCAAAGATAAGTGAGTACTTGAGGAAGTACAGCCGCAAAAGTATCTTTTAATAACTGTAGCTGTTACCGGCATGTGGCCTGCTCAATAAACATGTAATTTATTATTAATACATTTTGCTTCATTGCCACTTTGCATTAGGAAAAAAGGAGCCAAAGGAAAAAAAATAAAGTTTAAGCATTCAGTAATGACCTCTAAGGCACCATACCACGTGAATTGAATTTATTCAAGGCTCTCCACGGTTTGGTATTGTTAAAATGTACCAAATATTTTTTTTAAAAGTTGTTATTTATTAATAAGTTTATATTTGTGTATGTTTTAAATAGGTTAAATTTAAAAATAATTAATCCTTAATGGAGTTTATTTTGATAAATGTGACATATCGAATAAAAATAATATAAGTAAAAATAATATTCAATATAGACTAGATTTCATTGGAAGATTATGTTCACTTTAAAACCCAATACAAGGAAGAGAAAAAACCAAGACAGTGACAAATCACTCAATTAAATTAATATATTTTAAGATGCATATTCTAAGCATGCTTATTCTAAAGATGCTTATTCTAAACACATCTAGATTACATTAGACAAGTTTTTTTTTATTTAACAAATTTATGTCAGAGGAATTGTTTTTTCTTGATACTTTAATTTAGTTTTTGATGTTGTGCTGAGAAACAATTAAAACAAAAAAAACATCATTTAATTTTCATACTCTACTAACAAGAAAATGTTAAACTACTGGTTACAGATTTGCGTAGAACTTATTAATTTTATTTATTTTTATTTGAATTTTTATTTGCTTGATTTATACGTTGATTATAACAATTTTAATTTTTTTTTAGTTAATTGGAAGCTATTAATTTGTTTGAATACAGCGGGTCGTCATGGTCAGAGAGCACATTCTGTCTATGCCAAGAATTTTTTGTCTAGAAGGGTAAAATTCTACGAATATGTAAACTAAGTAATGATTATATTGATATTGACTTTATTATTTAAATAAACTTTAGCTAAGTTGTTAAACGATGGTAGACAAATTAAGTTTTATTGAATCGAACAATTTTATTTGTATAATACAATAATCCCTAATAGCTAAATAAACGTTCGGATTACGGCAGCACTTATATAGTCAAAATTTGTTAAGCTTTGATTTGAATATTTTTAACGGTAGGTCTTTAAAGCAATCAGATAAATTGTTTGTCAAACCCTTTTGACGATAAATATTTCTATGAGTAACTTAATTTACATTGTCACCTACGTCAATTTAACTTGGATTTTCAGTAATATTAATTTATTTTAATTACGAATAAGGTTAACTATATGGTTATATGAACAAAAAGAAAGATATTTCCTATATACATGTAAAAGGTAAAATGATTAATGTTTTAATTGTGCATTAAAACATGTAGAAAAAGTACGAAAAGATTGTCGCCGCTGTGGGAATCGAACCCACGTCTTCGGCATTCGCGGCCTGACGCTCTAGCCACTGAGCTAAATGGCTGATAGTTCGCTTCCCGGCTCGGGTTCGATTCCCACAGCGGCGACAATCTTTTCGTACTTTTTCTACATGTTTTAATGTTCAATCTTAAGTGCAGAGATTAGCACTATAAAAAACTTTAAAGTTTTAATTGTGTTTAAAACTATCCAAAGAAGAAAAGTTGGCAAGCGAGCAGATGGTTCCCTGATGTTAAGTGATTACTGCCGCCCCTGAACATCTGCAACTCCTGTCGATTTGCAGAAGCGCTGCGAACCATTAGAGTATGAATCTCGGTTACCTCACTCAGTAGACGGAACACGAAAGTTGACACTTCCAGTTCACGCCGGTTTCACCGGATGGGCCTGCTCATTCGTGAAACACCGGAGCCACTGGGTGGTCTACCACCGTGACATTACTTTTGGACATTACTTTCGTATTTTAAACGCCTTATCAAAGCCGTCAGGGTTCCATGACATTAGGCCGTAACTTAATGTTGTAAAAGTTATATGAAACTAGCTTTTCGCCCGCGGCTTCGCTCGCGTTGAAACCCTTATATAAATATCTATCCCTTAAATAATATCTTTAAGAACCTTTTATAACCCTTTTTCCAATTAAAAAATAGCCTTTGTCCTTTCTCAGGCTCTAGACTATACAGATAGAAGAGATTAAATGAAATTTGGTACACCGGTACCAAATTCCATTTAAATCGGTTGAGTAGTTTTGGCGTGAAAATAAGACAGACAGACAGAGTTACTTTCGCATTTATAATATTAGTATGGAAGTATGGATGATCAATCAAAACAATAGCCCACCTTGATGAAGTTATCGAAGATTCATTTAACTGACAGATATTTAATCATGACATTGTAGAAAGTCATTATCTATGTATAGACAAACAGTTGGCGATTTGGCTTTAGTTGAGAATGACGTTTTTAACGTTGGTATATTTGATTATTTTAAGTGTACAGTATTCTTCGCCGAGATTGTGCGAGGTTACATCACAGTGGCCACTTGCTGTAGAGCCACAGCGTTTCAATTTTACCGAACGGACATCCATTAACGGTTGTCCATCCGAAGAACACACAGTAATTACTGAAGATGGATATATCCTCACCATATTCAGGATGAGAGGATGCGGATGCTGCCACAGTGTTAAGACAACTCCAGTGCTGTTATTCCACGGTCTCTTGTTGACCTCCGACTCCTGGTTGGACGCTGGGCCAGAATCCGGTCTGCCATATCTGCTTTCTCGCTCTTGCTACGATGTGTGGCTAGGAAACCAGAGAGGAAGCTATCGCGGCCGCCGGCATATCAACCTAAATAGCGACATGGATATGGCTTTCTGGAACTTTTACGCTGACGAAATAGGCCGCTATGATATACCAGCTACCGTCGACTACATTTTAAAAGCTACCCGGACCGACTTACTTAACTACATCGGATATTCGCAGGGTGGAACCGCCTTCCTTATCATGTGCTCCGAAAAACCTGAGTACAAACATAAGATTGGTTTCTCCCTCCTCCTTGCGCCGGCCTCAAGAGCGAAGTATATCAGGTCCGAAGTATTTAAAATACTGTGCACAGGCGTCAAGGAGTTGGAGACACACTTGTATAAGTCAGGAATCTATGAGATTATGACTAAAGATGGATTTGGTCGCGTTGTTGCTTCTCTTTGTAAAGATACTTATGCGGCTGAAACAATTTGTGGTGACGCTTTAGGACTTTTAGATGGGTATCCCATCAAGTCTATGAGCGCGAGGACTTTACGAGTGATGTTCAACAATTTTCCCTCGGGGACATCAGTCCGCAACCTGGTCTGGTACGGCCAACTCGTCACGAACGGTACATTCAGAAAATTTAACTACGGTGATGAAGAAAACGTACGGAGATATGGTACAATATTGCCACCTACATACAACGTTAGTGCAGTGACTGTTCCTACGATAGTTATGTACGGCAAATCCGACTCATTGGTAGACAGCAGAGATATTAAATGGCTAGTAGATCGGCTGCCTAATTTAATAGAGTGCGTGGAAGTTAACGATCCGCGTTGGAATCACCTGGACTTCGCGTATAGTAGGCACATAAGAAGAACGATATTCTCGACTATCGACCAATTTTTACGGTATTATGACAGAGGCCAAGGAACTGAAAATTGATAAGTTAATCACATAACCTTGTTATTGTGTTTATATTAAGAAAATGTGTGTTAAATTTGTTTATTTTTATTTTTGATTATTTATATCTCATTGTCTCGTTATTATCGATGATGTATGTTCATAAGATAATAACATTTTACAAAAACATTCAATATTTTATTAATTACAAAGGGTACATAAAATATATTTTATTTACTTAAAGTGGTAAGGTAATGAAATTGTTAATTTTAAGTGCAAAATATCACGTGCTCAGCGGTGAAGGAAAACATCGTAAGGAAACCTGCATATTTTCGAAATAATAACAAAAAAATATTTCAAAGATATGTGACGTCTGCCAATCCGCAGTGGGGCCGCGTGGTGGACTATGTCCTGATACCCTCTGAACAGAGGAAGCCTTAGGAAGCCAGAGGAGGCCTTTGCCCAGCAGTGGGACATGTATAGGCTGATACTTTACTAAACGGGTAAGATTCTATTCCCGTTAGATATTTAAACATCACGTACCTGATAAAAGACAGATTTCGGATTTTAAAAAACAATTTGTGCATAATTTCGACCATAGGATGAGGTGGCAATAATTAACATCACAATGCCGGATATATCGTGTCTGTGACTTCAGATTTGGTGCTATGCAAATTTTTACTGTACACACGAGAAACCTATTTGCGATTCAAATGCGACATTCCATTTTGGTTATAAGTGTGCCTTTGTGTGTATATTCATTTGTCTTGCGTTAGTGTGTCCTCTGTTGGAATTTGAAGGTTTGACTGGACTTGAATTTTTATGAGTGAGAATTATTATATCTTGTATTTGTTTTTTTATGTTTATGGTAGAATTGGTAAACTTCTGACGACAGGAAATTGTAAGGTATTGTACTGCTTCTGAGTTGATGCATGTCAAATGTATTCCAGGGCTCCCAATCCAGGAAGATTGGGAGCCCCAAACTCCAGATTTGACATTTTCCTCTTCATAAAAAGCGACACTGTTCTTTTGCTGAAAGTTTTCTGTAAACGTACGATACCAAATATATAAAAAAAGTGTTATAGCCAAATAATGCAAGATCATTAAAGTTCTACGCAAACACCCGTGGTATAAAATTGTTTTGAATTAAACATTTCAATACTCAAATAGTAGTTTCTTCTCGATTGTTTTTATAAGTTCATATTTTGAAAAAAAAAAAAAAAAAAAAAAAAATGCAATGTGCACACTGCTCACTTCCCGATTACTATACTACCTAATCGCAAGCAGCTTTGATATGACATAAAGTCATTTGATAGAACTTAAACATAATTTTTAATTTACAGGATTTAGTAATATAAAAGATAAGTATTCCGATAAATTAAAAGAGGTTTGTTTAAAAATTACATTTCAGTTTTTGGATTTTTAAAACGTTTGTAATTAAAATATGTAGAAAAAGTACGAAAAGATTGTCGCCGCTATGAGAATCGAACCCACGACTTCAGCATTTGCGGCCTGACGCTTTAACCACTAAGCTAAAGGGCTGATTGCCACACCGACGAAAATCTTAACGTCTTTTATCTACATTGTTTTGCTAAATTGTAAACATATAAAAAATTCTCGCCCAATTTTCTATGCGACGCGACGCCAAGTAAAAACAAATTTTCGTCAACATAGTTAATCAATTATTGATTACTTATTTAAATTAGTTTTTTTAATGTGAATAGGAAGACATGAAAATGATTTAGGAAAGGCGGTTCACCTGATGTTAAGTTAATACTGCCGATGCCCATGGTCACATGCTACACCCGAGGGTTTGCGGATGCGTTGACAATCATTTGTAAATTGGGCTCCGGCTACCTCACTCACCAGACGAAACGCGAAAGTATAATACTTCCATATCACACCGGTTTTCCGTGAGGTGGTGGTACTTACCCGGACGAGCCTGCCCATTCGTGCAACAGCCGAGTCTGCTGCGTAGCCCTACCACAGCTTTTCATCGAATATATTTAAATAATAAATGAATGAATAAATAAATACTTAGGACACATTTTTACACAACGTTCTCTAGTCCCAAACTGAGCAACATTTGCACTATGGCTATATAATTAAAAATACTTTTCTTATCCTTTTTAAATAAATATCTACATATTATAAATTTGTAAACACCAAGACACTGGAAATACACAATGTTCAGCACACAATATTTTTCCGGTAGTGGGGATCGAACCCACACCATCTGGCGCAAGGGGCAGGTGCACTACCTACCACGCCAATCGGGTCCTCAAACACAAAGGTAAAGAAGAAGGAGTAAGCATACCGCCGTCTTGTTAAAATATTGATAATTATGCAAATAGAAAACATCATCCTTATCAGTATAAATGCGTGAGTTGTCACTGGATAGTCAATACAGCCACGCTTGGCCCAGTTTCGCATGAATATTCAAATCCAAATAATTAGACAAATTAAAATTTTGGACAACATTTTTGTGTTACAATTTGAGGAATCATCAAAAAGGCAGAATATGTCATGATATTCCTTAACAGCAGGTGATAAAATACAAAGCTTGATTTTAGGGTTCCGTACCCGAGGGGTAAAACGAGACCCTGTTACTAAGACTCCGTTATCTGTCTGTCTGTCCGTCTGTCACCAGGCTGTGTCTCATGAACCGTGATAGTTTAACTATCAATTTCAACTGTCTGATAAACAGTTGAAATTATCACAGATGATGTATTTCTATTGCCGCTATAACAAAAAATGCTAAAAAGCAGTATAAAAATTATTTAAGTGGGCCCCTCATGCAACAGACATTGTCGTTTTTACAGATAATGGTACGGAACCCCTCGTGCACGAGTCCGACTCGCACTTGTCCGGTTTTTTCATTTCTAAGTAATACCATACTTTCATTTAAATAAGGCTATGCCTAATAAAGGAATAACCTGTTGGTCTCAGACTCTGTGAAGCTGTATTCAGTGTGCAAATATTTCAATTCAATTCAATTCAATCGTTTATTTGTCATCAAAGTCTACATTACATAAATAGGTGTTACAATAAATAAGTACTTATAAATTCAGACACTGCTTTCCAGGCACTGAAAATCAAAACTTTAGTTACATAAACATAAATGACATTCGAAAGAATTAATTGCACCTTTTTTGTCTCAGTATAGATTAAATCAATTGCCATTTGATTTCAAATGTAAATGTTAATTAACAAAGTTGTCTAAACGAACTGGTGTAGAAGATTTTAATAGTCTTGCTGTTTATGAAATGTTTATATCACCATATATACCACCTATTCGTGGGCTGTGGTCAGTATATCATTTAAAAAAAAATATATAAAACGCATTCTGATGCAACAACAGCTCTCTGGTACCACATGATAAGAAATTGCAGATGCATTTATCATTATAATGATATGTTTTAATTTCATGGTGAAGTTTTTAAGCTATTTTTATTTTTTTTCCATTATTATTATGTTTTTGTCTTCAATTATTAAAATTTTAAAAGTGTTCTGTTAGTTAATGTTAGGCTGGGGTAGAATATCAGCGTAGTGCACAATGTTTGTAACAAACCCGAACCCCAGACCTTTTAAAATCTGACCGTCTAAAATCTGACCAATATAATTGTATTTTAAATTACTAGTACCTACATTATTTGTGATTTTAGACCAATAAAGACCTATCATTATTATATAAAACTATGAAACATGCACAATTGATTTTAAAACATGTCATTACTAGTACCTGGAGGACCAAGCTTTGCTCGTTTTTTTTTGGTAAATCATGTATTTTGAAAAAAAAAAAAATTAAAAATAAAGAAAATGATCTGGTTTAGAAAAACAGTGAAAAAAAAAAGAAAAAAAATAAGTGTGTAAATGATCGTGATACGAACCGCGGCCGTCTGTCTTGGGGCCGCCTGATTAACGACCGCTACTGTAATATTTTTTTTTGCGGCGAAATTTACCCTCATATTCGAATGATATTTTTCATTGAAAACAGGGATAAAAGGACATTTTCTAAAAATGAAACCTAGCTAGATCGATTTTTCGCCCCCCGAATCTACGCACATACTAAATTTCATGAAAATCGCTGGTGCCGTTTCCGAGATTATATATATATATATACAAGAATTGCTCGTTTAAAGGATAAGATATTAAACTTAAGAGTTCAGAAAATCCGTGGCGCTAATAATCCGTCTTAATAGTACAAAATATGCTAGCAACTCAAAAGATGCAACTTGAATACAATTTTTTTTTTAGATAATATGATAAACCGACAGGCGAGTTGCCTGCCTCTTACCTATTATTGAATTGAAACTTTCCGTAGAATCAAATCCATAAATGCATTATAAATGCAAGAGTATATAGCGTCATGTAAGAAGTAGTGCTCATTTAAAAATAAGAATTAATTAATGATACAGGGAGATTTTTTGAGAAGTGCCCAAATTTACACAGGAGGTTCAGACTCGGTAGTATAATCGTTTATTGAAATAAAAAACAAACTTTTTTTTCCAAGAAAAAAAATGCCATTCTATTCCCTAAATAACAGAATATGTTGACAATGCGGTAGTCATTCATAAATACCTAAATTTTACTGTGCACGAACTTCTGTGCGTGTTAGTTATGAATATGAATGAATAATTACTTACGAGTGATTTTAAATATTTATCATTTTTATATAACATTATTTATGTATAGAATTTAGTAAAAAAAAGGATACACTAAAAGCCACCCTGTATATTATAATCACCAGTCTGTCCGTCCAGTATCGAAAAGTATCCCCAATTGCGAGTATCTTGACCTGTCATTACACAAGCACATTTATTTCTCTCGATTGACTTATTCCATGTCACTTTTAATTATTTTTATTAATTTCATTTGAATAACATTATCAAAAAAGACGTTTGGAAAATGGAATTCAAATGAACAAGGGCTTCAGAACAAATTGGTGGAAATCGAGACATTCCGCGAGATGCTATCAATTGAACGGCAATTTATTGCGCTAACCCTATCTCTGTAATTATCCAAATAAATATTTTAGAAAAGACTTTCGCAATAAAACAATTAGATAAAGACGCGCCTTTAAATAACGCCTAAATCCCCCTCAGCCAATTGGAAGATGTATCCAACGGGGAGAACATGTTTATTAATATTCTTAGTTTTACATCAGAATGTTTTCGGAGATGATCGGGCACAAGATGAGAGGGAGCTAAAACTGCAGAGGGGATACCCACTGGACTCCTTACTTAACTTCACCGAGTTAGCCACCGAATATGGTTATTCCGCTGAACAGCACGAGGTGGTCACCGAAGATGGGTACATTCTGACAATGTTTAGGATAACAAGGGGCAAAAAATGTCAAGGCCCGATCAGGAATCCTCCAGTCTTGCTGATGCACGGCTTACTAATGAGCTCCGACAGCTGGATGGATTCCGGCCCGAAGGCTGGACTAGCGTATCTCGTGGCCGACCTCTGCTACGACCTTTGGGCCCCCAACGTGAGAGGCAATTACTACTCGAAGAAACACATAAAGCTGGATCCAGCGAAGGACCCCGCCTTTTGGGACTTTTCCAATCTCGAGTTCGGCTACTACGACATACCCGCCTCGATCGACTACATACTTAACTACACGATGTCCGACAAGATAAACTACATCGGCTTCTCGCAAGGCGGCAGCACCTTCCTCATAATGAACTCGGAAAGACCGGAGTATAACGACAAGGTCGGAGTCGGTATACTCTTGGAGCCGGGCTCGAGGCATACTTACACCAGGTCGCAGCTCTTCAGACTACTCGGCGACACGTACGAGGTCAATTTACCCGTATTCTATCAGACCGGCCACTATGAGGCGTTGCCTTTGGGCGGATTCGTACAGGAGGCCGCCTCGTATATCTGCAAGGACTACCTCTTAGCGGACACCGTGTGCAGGTTCGTGCTGAGCCTGATCGACTCCTTCCACCCGGGATCGGTCCTGACGCAGACGATCCGGGTGCTCCTGGGCCATTTCCCGGCCGGGACGTCCGTGAAGACCATGGCCTGGTACGGCCAGGCGTTGAACGCGGACGTATTCCAGAACTTCGACTACGGCGCGTCCAGGAACCTGCAGGTGTACGGCACCGCGCAGCCGCCTGCGTTCAACATGAGCGCCGTGACTGTGCCAGTCGTCGTCATCCACGGACGTAACGACTTCCTCACCTCCCCAGCGGACGTCGAATGGATCACCAGCCAGATACCGCATGTGCTGGAGCAATATTACGTGGCGGACCCCCTGTGGGACCACTTCGACGTGACCTACAGCCAGTTCACCGGCAGATCTATCCTGCCCAAAATAAGCGAATACTTATCCAAATTCAGCGAAGTATCTTCCGAAGATTGAATTGATTGTTCAACAAAATGTTTCTTCATTAAGATTTGTCCTCGTCTATGTTTCGTTCGGTAGCGAAAAGAGTTTATAATTCGAAATTAATTGTAGAAACGTTCTATTTATAGATTTGATGAAAAAAATTATGATATATTTTAAACCTGCTTTTTAATGAACGATGAATTCGGTAACACCTACTTTTACATGCAAAAGCGGCTGTTTTTTTTAAATATTTGCTGAAACCAAAAACAATGTTTATTGACAGTATTTGTCTGCTGAGCACCTAGATTTTTATTATTAGGTTTATGTAACATTAGGTGTTAAGGATACGTTTCATCCAATCATACAAGGTTAAATATCAGTTAGCTTGGCCAAATTGTCAAAACAGCTGTACTTTTTAACTTTATGAAGACACTATCACCATCCCCTGAATTTGATGGTTTAAATTTGCTTTTATTTCAAAACAGTTCAACTTGAACGCTCATACTTTCGTTTGAGATTTCAGGACTTAAAAATGTGTTGATGGTGCAAAATCCGAGAGTTTTTGCCACTTTATTTCTTTAAATTTTTAATATTAGTTTATAGAATTGAATGACTTGTTTTAGTATTTCTTCAAGGTGTAACGTTAATTCAATAAATTCGTCATCTAAAATTGTCAAGAAATAATTTAAACCAATCAGAAATTATCTCTCAGGCTGGTCCGGGGATGGCACGGAAGGCCGACATGAAGATTTTTTATGTGTTTGTGCGGTGGCCCATTTTAAAAATGTTGGCAATGTATTTTCGACCTGGGTGTTATTGATGTCCATTGGCGGCGGTAACCACTTAACACCATGTAAACCTGCTGCTTTACTTTCACGTAAAAAATAAATAAAACTGTTCAACATTACAATGATCTTTTTGAAAGATCTTCAAGTTATTGCATTAAATGTAACCAGAGCTATGCAGGAAATGTAATGTGTTTTCAGCGCATATGGTCACTCCAGCACTTGGACGTTTTGTCTAGCGTAAGGTACAAGCAGGGCCACCATGAAAATAGCCAAGACACCCTTAAGTATACTGGAATTCTGAACGTGGAGACGATAGTAATCAGATATGAACCGTATGCTAATTAATTGTTATTAAGAAACTGTCCAATGAAATAAGACATATAATGATATAGTAGTACCTGGAGGACTTTTTTTTGGTAAATCATGTATTTTGGAAATTAAAAAATTAAAAAAGAAAGCAATGATCTGGTATAGAAAAAAAGTAAAAAAAATAAAAAGTGTGTAAATGATCGTGATACGAACCGCGGCCTTCTGTTTTGGGGCCGCCCGATTACCGACCGAGCTATTATAACATTTTTTTGCGGCGAAATTTACTGTCATATTCGAATAATATTTTTCATTCCCTGAAAACAGGGACAAAAGGACATTTTCTAAAAATGAATACACAGGGACGCAGTTACCAAAACATTGCCTTTAGTGCCAGGCATCATACCTCATCATGTAACCCACAGACAATTGAATGAATGAATACACTTTCATTGTCCACGGTTGTTTCGTGTCTGGGTGGTAGTTCCTAAAGAGAGTTAACAGTTGACGTCCACCGTAGCAAAAAAACCAGGCCAATAACCATAATAACATCTTTCATATGTTGTGATAAGCACCTAGAAGGGAAAAGCCTAGTAGGATGATGCTAACAAAGTTGAAATTCCTACAAAATTAATGTATTATAATTCGTAGTTCACTAATTTATACATATTGTAATTTCTAGAGCATTTACAATGAATTACAATACCCGCATTTTGAGATATAACTTAATATATGTTATCGTTATAATATATAATGTGATGATGATAATATAGAATAATTCTTTCAACAATTCTGAATTCAAACCACATACTTTGATTCCACAGTATTACGATCTCAGCAACCATAAACTCGGGTAATTTAGTAATACAGGTGTTGAACGTTAAAACCAAGAAAAGTCATAATTTATATTACAGAGAGCTGGAATGCATATAAAAGTGGGGTAACGAGGTTTTAAAATTTTTAGATTTACACTTGAATTTAAATTACCGTTAACTTTTAAAAGAAGTTCAAGAGAGAATATAAAAATCTCTGTCTTACGAGACTGGTTTTCAAAACCATAAAGTGATGTGATGTGAAACTTTTGCAGGCTAGCAGGCGGTTCACTCGATGTTAAGTAATCACCGGCGCTCGTAGATTTACAACAACGCTGGAACCAGTTGAATTGTTGATGTGTTGCTTTGAAAAGTTGCCGCCGCGTACCCCACTCAGACAAAACCCAAAGACGTAGATCGGTGAAGTTAACCAACGGATAAAGGTGCATAAAAAGATGGGTCTCAAATGTACTTTTTGACGCGTCAAAGACACGTCACGACTTAAGAGCACTATTGTGAATGAAATTGTACCACTACACCTTTTCAAAACATTTGGCTTTCTTTTCAAAATAGACAGAAGTTGTCGGTTTGAAATAAAAAAAAATTATATGGATATCCGTATATTTCTGGAAAGTTGTTTTATTTTAATAATATTGGTATATTTATGAAAGCATTATAAGGATATTAACATAATGTAAAGATTTTTTACAACACAAAAGAATATTATTTAAATCCTAACAAAGCCACTGAGCTAAGCCCACTCAACATTGAAGGCTCCTTCACGGAATAGCTTATTAACTTACTTGTTTTCTGTTTAATGGATGGATTGTATTTGAAATTAAAATTGATGAATATATTATAATAAATAGCAGTACCAATAAGGTTTTGATAAGGACTGAAGGAATAATCAATTTACTACAAATGACAATTTATAAAAAATGCATTATAACGTCTGGATATTAAATATTAGTGTTATTCGCAATACGAATTTTACTGATGAGGAAACTCTACCGGATAGTCGGTGGTGTGTTTGAACTAGGAATAAGGTCTTAAAGATGGTAATAGCTGGAACCAGGTATGGTATGAAGAAAAACAGTGTTACTTGGCTTGTATTTTGCACCGGCTCTCTCAATCAGCAAAAAAAATTATACCTGTTGGCAGGTTATTGCACAAATGCAATCACGAACCTACATTAAAATAAATTAGTTTAAAATAAAACTGGGTTTTATCTCTAGAAAAAAAAAATATATTTGTGCGCGCATACACTCTTCCCCTAATTCCCATAACCGGGCGTGGCAAATTTTAATGTTGCCAAGCTTTAAAAACATTGGGCTCCGATTACCTCACTCACCAAATCAAAAGTATAAAACATCTTTTTCACACTGTTCGCATTTTGTCAGGTCATGCGTCAGACGTTCCCCATTCGTGCAAAAGTGAAAGATGTTGCGTGGCCCTACAACAATCGATCAAATTTCTTTGAGATATTTTTAACAAAATTGACATAAAAAAATAAAAATTGATAATTTTCGTGGTATGATTATGTTTTATTAATTGTATATACGTATTATAATATTATATGTACAGTGCCACCTTCCGTAAACGTTCTGTGTATGTTTAGAAATGTAATAATGAAACATAAATTTATGCCGTGTAATATAATGTAATAATTACCTGTAGGATAAGTTTTCTTTGGTAAATCATGTATTTTGGAATTAAAAAAATAAACAAAATGATCTGGTATAAAAAAAGTGAATAAAATAAGTGTATTTTTTTGCGGCGAAATTTACTGTCATATTCGAATGATATTTTTCATTCCCTGAAAACAGGGACAAAAGGACATTTTCTAAAAATGAAACCTAGCCTATATATACAAGAATTGTTCGTTTAAAGGATAAGATAATGCACGCTATTACATTTATTCACAATTCCGAGTTTCCTGTGACAAAAACGAATCAACGGACAAAAAAGCATTTAGAAGCTTTCAATAGGCTACCTTCTAATTTGTTTATCAATATCGCGAATACTTGTTTCAGTCATTTACCAATCGATGCTCTCAATTATAGCGACGTTGAAATATTTCGATTGGAAATACTATTGTGGCTTGTTGGCGAGTGTCGCTGTCTTTCGAACATCACAATTCATCGATTCCCAGGTTAAAAATATATGTAAGTGAATAGTATGGTGTTAGTATATAAGTATGACAAGTTTAACAAATATGACAAGTACCTATAAAATTAGGAAAGAAAATTAAATTACTATCAACAAAAAAAAAGAAAGAGCTCTTAATGTCTACGCTTAACTTATAGTTAACGATTAATAAACACATGAAAAAATCTTGTCATATGATAAAAAATAGAAAAACTAAATCAATTTCAAAAGATTTAGTAATATAATTGTCACTAAAATTCGGTATATTATTCAGTATTAATTTATTGTACTCATGTTCTCGCCTAGAAAGCGTGAATTTGGTTTATTGCTATTATTTTCTGTAAGGCGTTCAAGTTCTATGGTCAGATTTTTTTATACCTTATTTCACTTGTCATCTTGTCAACTTTGAATTTAGTGTTTATGTGACCATCTGCTGTTTGATTAAAATCAGAAGATTACTACCTTATGCAATCCTATAGATGAACCATTAGTCCATAGATTATTAATTTCCACGAGCTTCATATGTCCCGGTATGGATTATTATATGGATAGGTTAAAAACATAGGTGAGATAAGCGGGTGTACCTTCCGAAGCTGATGGCTGTCATTGAGAGGTCGTGGGGGGCAAGTACCCCACGGTCGTGATCATTTATATCATTGTATCATCAGATGAACCGCCAGCTCGCTTGCCAACTTGTCACAGAATTCAAATTCAAATGATTTTTAATTGATTCTGAAATATGGTATATTAATGTGAAATAAAAGTTAATTCATACTCGCCAGGCACTAAGTCGCGACTTGTTAACTCTTATGCCTGAGTTGAGTAGTTAACTTAAGTGCAAGTGTTCACTCGTACTTTACACTAAAATTTAGTTAAACTCTATAGTTTGCCTAAAATACATGACCAAGAATAGCGTATAGAAGTGGTTAAAACGGTAATTTAATACGCATTAGGCTATATTTTAACTAAGAAGAGCCCTCCTGATATATAGAGCCGGGAAAGTTAAGATATATACAAAACAATTAACTGATTTTTTTACACGCATGAATTGATTTAAGTTTTAGTTATCTATTTAATACGCTAAATCAGCATTAGGTTGAATTTAGTTGTGAAAAAAGTTAACAAATTTAGTTCACTTTTTTGTATGCTAACTGCAGATAATAAGTACATGCTAGTGTATAAAAACCCAAATTAACTAAAACAAAGAATTAATTACAACTAATAAAAATGCCTCAGACGAAAGTGTGTCTCATCCATCTAATTGATACGACTTGAATTAAATAATAGTTTACCGAAACAGCATTAAAATAAAATGAAATGCGAGTCTTTAAATATCCTCCGTGGTGGAACGTCCGTTCGAAACGATGTCTACGAAAGGGAACATAACATTTATTTTTCTACTTTTCGCTTCTCTGAAAGCAATTGCTCTGGGCGATGTGGATCCATTAGGAGCCAACAACACAATTCCAACAAATATTAGTATTATTAGTATTAGTAGGGAAGTAAAACTGAAACAAGGTTACCCGTTGGACTCGCTTCTCAACTTCACCGAGCTGACGGCGGAATACGGGTATCCTTCCGAAGAGCATACTGTCATCACAGAGGATGGCTACATACTTTCTATCTTCAGGATCGAAGGCAAGAACTGCCAGGGCCCGACGAGGAGCCCGCCGGTCCTGATAATGCACGACCTGCTGATGAGCTCGGACAGTTGGCTGGATTCGGGACCAGGATCAGGCCTCGCGTATCTCATATCCGACGACTGCTACGACTTGTGGGTGGGCAACGTACGCGGGAACTACTACGGCAAGAGACACCAGACTCTAGATCCCGAGACAGACATCGACTTCTGGCAGTTCACGGTATACGAAATAGGGGTCTACGATGTCCCCGCCATCATCAACTACATTCTAAATCAAACGTCCTCTGACAAAATCAACTACATCGGATACTCCCAAGGCGCCAGCACGTATTTCATAATGTGCTCGGAGACGGAAGGCTACTGTGACAAAGTGTCGTTGTTCATAGGTCTGGAGCCAGACTCCAAGAACACGTTCACGAAGTCCATACTCTGGCGGTTTATAGCCGAAACGTTCCAATTCCTATCGCCCCACTTAACCGAGATCGGTATATACGAAGCGCTACCTTTGGGCGGGATCTTTCAGGATACGGCCTCTTACGTTTGCAGCGACTACGTGATGGCGGACACCTTTTGTAGGGATTTCTTGAACTTGCTCGACTCACCCCACCCCGGGTCCGTGGACACCGAGACTATACGAGTGCTCGCGGGCCATTTTCCGGCAGGCACGTCAGTGAAGAACATGGTGTGGTACAGCCAGTCCTTGAACGTCGACAGGTTCCAACACTTTGACTACGGGAATACCGCCAACATGGAACTCTACAACTCCACGAGGCCTCCCGCGTATAACCTGACCGCGACCACGACACCTACGTTAGTGATAAACGGATTGAACGACTACCTGACCGTTCCGGCAGACGTAGACTGGCTGACGAGCCACCTACCCAACGTAGTGGAGCATTACATTGTACAAGACCCCCTGTGGAACCATCTCGACGTACCGTACAGTAATTTGACGAGTAAAGAGATTCTTCCCAAGATTACTGCATACTTAAGTAAATACAGCAACGAAACTCTTCAAACCTAAATGATTGCGAACATCTTATTAAAAAACTGTTTCATGTAACAATTTACAAACATTAAACTTAAAAGAAAGACTTGTTTTAATTTTATATTTAAATAGATATACTATTTTCACGACAAACGAATTCCTTACTTTATTTATAACTGCACTACAATTTTAATTTCTATTCTATTTTGATTGAATAAATTTATATCTAAAATTTTAACACATAAAGTCCTACCTGTACCTAACTGACCTGACTGTAAGACATATGAATTGTAACAAAGGTCAAACTTTTTGAACAGAATCTGACAGTTTAAATAAAAAGTTGCTAAGGATTTATTAAAAACGTATACTGGTTTTAATAACCGTGTAGTGTGTAATAAATCTCTTTAATACAAGAAATCATTAGGGTTTTATAGATTAGTTAGAGGTTCATTTCGTATCGATACACCTATTGTCTACGATCGATGCATTTGTCATATATGATACCTCTTTGTTTATCTATTAAAGCTATACTAGTTAGTCTATTACCTTTGGCCACGAATTTATTAGAGTTGATAACTTCAACCTTACGCTCTTAAGAGCTGAAAATTACAAAAGAGATTTCTATATTGCCATTGTTATGGCTTACCCGAAGATACCTATAGGCGGATTATTTTTTTTTACATGAAAAGTTGCCAAGCCAGCAGGCGGTACACCTGATGTTAAGTGAATACCGCCATCCATGGACATCTGCTACACCCGAGGGTTGCAGATGCATTGACAACCTATTGAAAGAAGGGCTCCGGTTACCTCACTCACTAGACGAAACGCGAAAGTATTATACTTCCACTTTACGTCTGTGAGGTCGTGGTACTTACCCGGACGAGCCTGCCCATTCGTGCAACAGCCGAGGCTGCTGCGTGGCCCTACCACAGTTAAATTATTACAGCTTTATTATGATTGCAGCGTTAAATGATTTACCACAGCATAAAGAGATGGAGAGAAGATGGTCAGTTAAGCAAACAATTTCTCCTATTATTCAGACAACAACCTGTCGACCTTATATTGACCTTTATTTATCTTTGTAGACTTTCATACCAACTTTCATTCTTTATTAAAAGCCAAGGTTTAAGAATTATCAATACCTACGATTTGTTGGATGCTTAAGGCATCAACGCAATTACATTAACAGATTTGTTCATGATAATGGAAACTTTGCCGAAACTGGATTTTTTGGCAATGAATAAGTCGATAATGAATACCTACACAACGCAAATTTGGCTATTGTTATAATTGTGTCATATAACTAAGTGGAGCCTGGTGTGCTCTGATTTTTCTAGAAAAATCTACCATTTTTAACACGTGAATAATAACATTTTTAATTGTTTATGATTTTTGTTATTCTAAGGCACTTGTGTATACAATATTTTTGATTTTGCGTCTTGAGCAAAAACAAATAAACTTGTCGGTTTACCAACAAGGGAACACGCGATATACAAATGACTTTTGTTAAACATAGTAAGATTCAAGCAAAGTAGATCTATGTTTCAAAATTTAATAGTAGACATCACTAACGTCATCTATTAGTTACTAGTGTAACCATAACATATTAGTTTGTGTTCCAATGCTGCCACATGCATATAACCGCGAAAATAAATGAACACAAGTCTAACGCTACTTGCCAATAATCATAAAAAATATAAATGTTTAAAAAAATCCATGATTAAAAAAAATATTTTTCAAACAAACTAATTAAGTAAAAAAGAAACAAAATTTGTAATATCTTATACAACTACAACTGACTGATTCATACATTCAGAGACTTTTTCATTCGTTGCCACAGCGTCGCATTACAAGCCTCTCCTTCTAACAGTATGTTTTGTCTCTTTTAAATTCATTCAATCCATTCATATGCTTTGTGACCTATGACCTATAACCTACAAATGAACTTTACGTTACAGTTTTATACGTAAGGGTGTTCTATTGTTTGTTTTGGAAAATTTAATAGCTCGGTAAATATTGATGTTTGAAGAACGTAAATGTTTAATACAATTTTAAAAAGTTATCCTCTATATGTTTGTTCATTTATTGTCGCGGTAGTAACGACACGCTGTATACAAAATTTCATATCGATTGGACCTATGGTTCAAAAGATAAAAATCACTGCTACCAGCGCCACCTACCCAGCACTAGCGTCGGAGTACATTTTTACATTTTCAGTACCCAACAAACTATATCTAAATGATGAAACGAATCCGCCAATCCGCAGTGGGGCCGCGTAGACTATGCCTTGATACCCTCATTCCAGAGGAGGCCTTTTCCCAGCAATGCAACATTTATGGGCTGTTACTTTTTATTTGAAATTGAAATAAAAGCCTACTAGCAACTCGTTACATTGTAAATATTGTCTTGATAGGAAATGAAAACAGGTAAATTGATATCACTATTAAAAAAAATCAACATGTTGGTTCTTGGTATTTTTAATGAATTAAATGCCATTAACACTACAGATTTTTTAAGTATTTTGTGAAAAACGGTTTTTCAGTTTACACCAATTTAACCATTATTTATATATAATAAAAATAAAAATTAGTGTAACGCCATTTAAAACCTAATTGCAGAGTGGGGCCACGAGTAAAAGAAAACTGGAGTTTTTCCACGTTTATGGCTTTTCTTTTCTTCCTTACTATTTCGATATACTAGATTTCTCATATTGTTTTTCTTTAACACCGAACACTTGGTTAATCAAATAAAATAGCCCGTATCAAATAAACAACCCATGCAGCAAGAGAGCTACTGTGTTTAGTACCACAGAATATAAAAAAAAACAATATTCAAAAACCCTTTTTTTTAATTAGGACTATGTAATTTAGGACTACGTAACTTGTTCTAAGTTGTTCCACAACATTTGGCACACAAAAAAGCTTTAGGTAGAAAAAGTTATTCAAATTTTCCTAATTTCGTTTTTTTTTTCTCAGAGATAAAAGATTTTTTTTTTTTTTTTTTTAGTTAGGTTCCTGTTCTATATTTCAAGTTTGTTTTGTAAGTGTTGTGTTTACCTGTAATTTAAATATGTACATATATTGTTTACGATTTTAGTATTAAGTTAAACATATTTACATTTCAATGTTCTGTATGTATTTAGTTGGTAAGCCTTAATAAATAAATAAAAAAATAAATAAAATTTTCCACGACTCTCGTAATTTGGATATGCAGTGTATTTTTGTGAGAAATAATTCATAAGTTCATTTCAATTACGATTATAATAATTAACTTCAAAGCAAATAACTTTGAGCAAGATTAATAATCTTGGAGTGGCGTCCGTGGACCTAAAATAAAAAGAAAAATCAAGGAAATTCGTTACGGACCATGATAATGTTACAGTACTGCGGATTGGCGGATACGTTTCATCATGTGTCGTTACCATCGCGACAATAAATGAACACACTTCTAACGCTACTTGCCAATAATCATAAAAAAATATTAACGTTAAACAAAATCCATAATTAAAAAAAAAATATTTTTCAAACAAACTAATTAAGTAAAAAAGAAACAAAATTTGTAACATCCTATACAACTCGCGCCATAGCGTCGCATTACAAGCCTCTCCTTCTAACAGTATGTTTTGTCTCTTTTAAATTCATTCAACCCATTCATATGCTTTGTGACCTTTACAAATGAACTTTACGTTACGCTTTTATAGGTAAGGGCTGTCCTAAAATTGTTTGTTTTGGAAAATTTAATAACTCTGTAAATATTGATGTTTAAAGAATTTAAATGTTTAATACAACTTTAAAAAGTTATCCCCTATATGTGTGTTCATTTATTGTCGCGATGGTAACGACACGCTGTATAACGGATTGTCTTTACCGTTTACTGACCACCACGTTGTGTTTTTGACGAAATGGCTGCGCACGACCACTTTTATGGAAACAATAGTCGCCAACGGTGCTTACGGATGTGATTTAGGCCCTTTAAAAAATAGTTTCATTTAGAATTAAAGTCCAGTGAAGGAAGTCCTAGAATACCATAAAACTATGTTTTGTAAAAATTGGGCGGACGACCCGTGGATCTTTTCCGCCGAAGCTGTGAAAGGCGCAAAGGCTAATAGCAAACTACACGTCACAAAAAAAAGGTTAATTAAGCAATGGTATTTAATGTTTGCTTTTTATTAGGTGCTCCGGAATAAAACGACGATTTGGTTTTTAGTTTCCAGAAACGTCGATGTACTTAATTTTGCAGACATGCCATCTATTACGTTTCTTTTATCTAATCGAATACAACAGAATTTTAACAAAACTTTATTCAACAGATCGGCTAAACGAAAATGCATCGACCTACCTACACGATCCATTTTTTGTACGGCTAACCTCGAAAATTATCAAATTGAAAAATTCACACAAAAGCCAAAGGAATAAAACATTGTGATATGGAATCCTTTATATAAATGTGAATCCAATGTTCAAATATCAAAATGTTTCACGGGGTGAATGTTTATCTGTTATTTCTGTTTATATTTAAACATATTGAGAAATCCGTAAATTTCGAAGAAGATGTGATAAATATTGATAGGGAGATGAAATTACAGCAAGGTTACCCGTTAGATTCACTCCTCAATTTCACAGAATTGACTGCTGAGTACGGCTATGAGTCCGAAGAGCACACAGTGGTCACAGATGATGGGTATATTCTGACAATCTTCAGGATAGTGAGGGGAAAGAGGTGCCAGGGGCCGATGAGGACTCCACCGGTGCTGCTAATGCACGGTTTGCTTCTGAGCTCTGACTGCTGGCTGGACTCTGGTCCGGACTCGGGGCTGGCGTATTTAATAGCTGACGCCTGCTACGACCTCTGGGCGGGCAACGTGAGGGGTAACTACTACGGGAAAAGACACGTTAAACTCAATCCCGAAACCGACGTGGACTTCTGGCAGTTCACCGTCAACGAAATAGGCCACTTCGACGTCCCGGCGATGATCGATTACATTCTGAACTACACGTCGTCAGAACAGCTCAACTATATCGGATACTCGCAGGGCGCCAGTACGTATTTCATAATGTGCTCAGAGAGAGAGGGCTATAGCGAAAAAGTGCAATTGTTAATCGGAGTAGAGCCAGACTCAAGAAACACATTCACAAAGTCGCTGATTTGTAGAGTGATAGCGGCCCTGTATGAGGATTTTCAACCTGCTCTGACAGAAGTCGGCCTATACGAAGCCTTTCCTTGGGGCGGCATCGTGCAGCAGATTGCGGCATTTTTCTGCCGGGATTATATCTTGGCTGATACTGTTTGTAGGGGCCTCATGAGCATTATCGACTCGCCCCACCCCGGGTCCATTGAAACCGAAACTATACGCGTGCTATTCGGCCATTTCCCAGCGGGCACTTCTGTCAAGAACATAGCCTGGTACAGCCAGTCGCTGAACGTTGACAAATTCCAGAATTACGACTACGGGAATACCGTTAATATGGAGCTCTACAACTCCACGAGACCCCCAGCATACAACCTCAGCGCGACTACGACGCCTACAGTGGTAATAAATGGATTAAACGACTACCTCACTGTCCCCGCAGATGAGGACTGGCTCACGAGCCACCTGCCAAATGTGCTGGAGCATCACATCGTGCAAGACCCCCTCTGGAACCATCTGGACGTTCCGTACAGTAAACTAACGAGTCAAGATATTTTACCAAAGATGATTGAATATTTAGAACATTACAGCGAAGCAATTTCAGATAACCATCTGAAATTGCTTCGCTGTAATGTATAAAAAAAAACATCATTATTTACCATAATAATAATAATGATTTATTTATTATATACAACATATATTAATTATATTTATTTTTATTCATAAACTCAAACATGAGAAAACAAATAAGGAGCTCCCCATAAAAATAATAATAATAAAACATTTATTTATCGAGCAAGAACATGGGATATACAAAGTACTTTGAAAATTAGAACTAGGTTGTTGTTGACTCATTTCGAAAACCGTATATTACCTGCGGTGCTCACACTAAGCGACGCCTGTATCGTTGTCAATAAATAATTCGATTATTGGAAAAAGAAATTGTCAAATTATTCATTTATTTCATAAATTAGGAAAAAAAATTCTTGGTCATCTTTTCCTCGTTAATATAATGACTAAGGAAATTTGGGTGGATCTGTTACTTGAATTTTTACTCAACTAAAACGTGGCAATACATTGACTACATTTTCTGTCTACTTTTTACAGAGAAATTCTTTATTCTCTTTCTTGAACGGTTACCCTTGCTAAATGACTTCATATATTGAGAGACGAACAAAGGTGATTGTACCTAGATAATTTTATGCAATATATTTTATTTATTTTATTTTATACACCAACTTACAACTGTACAGGCAATACCTAAGGCTAAGTTCGAATACATTTCAAGACTAACATATAACTATAACTATAATTAAAAGTAAACACTAAGAACATGGAACGTAGCCAGTTACAAACTACAATGAGCAATTGCTCAAATTTAATTGATTAGTGCAAACAAATAAATTCAACACGCAGTAAATTGATGCAAAAAGTAATAAATTTGTGCAGTGCATGCTATACAAAAAGTTGTGCAGGTATCGAAGTCTGTCGCTTAGAATACACCGCGCCAAGCTTAACGGTTGCTGATAAGTGAGCTGGTACAGACCCACGCGGGTACAGTCAACTCTGCAATTTTAGAGCGCTTTAAGGGAAAATATACAAATATATTATCACCTACATTAAAAAAGATATCTTATGACTTTGACGCTTATCTTTATATATATAATTCTTCTGTACGTGTCTCTTCTTCTATAAGTCACTTAACTCCTCTTAAACGGCTGGACCGATTTTAATGAAATTTTTGTGTCTTCAGGTCGATTCGAGAATGGTTCAGATTCACACTTTTTTTATTTATAAGTTTTCGAATTCAAGTCGTGTGTATATATAGCACAACGTCTGCCCGGTCCGCTAGTATTTCGTAAAAAATTAAATTGTTAATTTCTACTTGTTGAATCTAACCAATTCACATTTGAAAAAAGTTCCAATTATGAGGCTTGTGTTTGGGACTGGGAAATCCATTTCAGATTAATAATTTACTTTTATCCCATAGTTGCCCAAATAGTATAAGTACTCACAAAAGTACAGGCTACTACAGAGACCCATTAATAAAGAAATTTCTCATTAGACGTTCAGGTTGCTTGAGTATGCTCAGTTAAAATTGAGCATTCGGACACAGAGCTATCACGGCTCTACGGAACTCTATGTACCTAGCGACTAAAAATAACGACTGAATAATTTAAAAAAAATCAACCTCCACTAAAGAAATCTTATAATATACTACCTTACATACTTTTGGTACTTAGTGACTTACAAACATACTTAGTTATTTTAAGTAAATATAACCATTACATGTCAAAGCGTCTTCTAGAATTTTTTAAATTTATTTCCGTGATTATTCACAATGACCGTCATAGCTCATTATCCGGGCGCTCACTTTACTTCAATATACTCGAGCAACCTGAGTTCGATCCCCTTTGCCGGCACCAATGAAATCGTAAATTTTTTGACTTATCCCGTGCTCAGCGGTGAAGGAAAACATCGTCAGGGAAATCTGCATATTCTCGAATTAATAACAAAGAAAATATTTCGATGATATGCGAATTCCGCTAATCCGCAGTGGGGCCGTATGGGGTAGGTACTACCACCCAATACCCTCATGCTCAAAAAAATTGTAAACTGAAGTGGCAACCGGCTAGCCATACAGCTCGTATAACCGATAGCCAACGGGAAAGAAAGGTTCTCGATTATCAACCTTGTTCTGGCCATCGCAGTGCAGGACGACCCCACTAGATGGAGTGACAAGAATCGTTGACAGGCGTGCAGCATAAGTGTTTCCCGAAATACACATTATTAATGTCACTGAAACAGCAATCAAACAGCACAAGAAACAGGCTCACTGTGCTAAGTAAGTTAACAAAAAACTAGTAACTAACTAACTACCGGACTAGTGCGAGTCGGACTCGGAGCCCCGCTTAAATATATATTTTTTTAATTCTATGTTTTAGTATTTGTTTTATAGCGATAACAGAAATACATCATCTGTCAAAATTTAAACAGTCAACTATCACGGTTCATGAGATACAGCTAGGTGACAGACGGACAGATAGACAGACAGACACAGACTGACGGCCAGACAGACAGACAGACAAACAGACGGATAGACGGACAGACAGACAGACAACGGAGTCTTAGTAATAGGGTCCCTATTTTACCCTTTGGGTACGGAATCCGAAAAAGATAACTGTAGTGTTATACATTTATTTAAAAAAATAATTTGTGTTGATATCTGCTGTCCGTACTCGCGATGCAAGATATCGCCTTGAATGGGAACAGGTGCATTGACCCCCGATAAATGCGGACGGAACTCGCTTTAGGACCTTGTTACTAAATAAAACTTTACGTATGCTTTTTCGCAAACAGGCAACGATTTAACTGATACTCCTTCATTGATATTGAAAAGTGCTTAAATTCTGTGATCGATTTACTTTGCCCTAAAACTAAACTACAGTTTTATCAAACGAACGTAATAACTTATGCTAGTCCATAATATTCAAATTCCTTCAATTTCATTTTACGATAATATTCTAATTGCTCTGTGAAAAACTAGACTAATGTCAAAACAAAATAGACTAAAAAACTAATCTAGACTAATGTCAAAACAAAAAAAGAAGAAGAAATATTTATCGTCCGATCGAGTTTGAACTTGACGATCTTGAAATTTTAATGAGTTGGCAATGAGCTTGTAGCAATACGCATTTACGTAACATCCCAGAGAACTAGCAAATAACATTGATCTCCTTAGCTCTATTGAAGATATAAAAATTAATTTGCTTAGAATGCACTATGATAAATGCTGAAGTTAATGCTAGTGGGTTTTTTTCGCGTGGTGTTTAGAGAAAATTCAAATAGAATAACTTATATGCTAGATTAACGTCTAGAATTTTAATACGTCTAGAAATATATATATGGACGTTATATTTATGTAGACCGGTCATTGTTCATAGCGTAAATAAATCTTCTTTTTCCTACCCCTATCCCAATTTTTAGTTAGCTGCAATAAATTAATCACGTTATTCTTATTATTGTATTAAATCTGTAACAATTATCTTTGGGTCACATAAATACTTGTCTCGTGTTCGAATCGAACCCGCGACTTCCGATGTAGACGTCAAAGTCACTAGCAACCGCATCACAAACTTTAAATAAATTAATACATTAAAATAAAAATGCTTGCGAAATATTTTCCGAGAATTTTAGGTTCTTTTGTCTATAAAATTGGCTATTTCATTTAGATTTTAAATTGAAGCATATCACCAATAAAATACAAATATTTATATCTCCATTCTTCAAATTCATTTTTTTGTTCATTATAAGATTTTAATGATACGACATCATATTTCGGAAAGCAAAACCTTTATGCCACCATATGCGACATTTCAATATGAAAATGGAATCGGTTAATAAAAGTCGACCCTACACAAGGCCTTTGTGGATAAAAAACTTCCGCGTCACCGCCAGCGTCGCCGACACTCTTTATTTATTCTTTGTTGTAAACAATTTCATCGCAAACACGTTGCACCGTCGACGAACAAATAGTAGCCTGTGGTTTTGCCTGTTCTGCCTTACTTTTTCTTCTATCCATACAATAGTCAGTTACGGACCAGAGGCGATCAACTTATACCATTTTAATCCTATAGTTACATAAAACTTTACCATTCGATGAAACTTGTTGCGTCATAATTAACTATTTCGTGCATTTAAATGTTTTGTCTCATGAACAAGTTAGTGATTCTTACACTAGGTCTCAAAGGAGTTGTCATTACTTTAAATGTCAGATTATGTTACTCATTGGTTAGAATTTTAAAATAAGGAAAGTAAAAATTCACAGCACAGTTTTTATAACAAACTAGAGAACAATACCGTGAAACCAATAAATTAAATTCGCATATAAAGGATTTCATCTGCTTATAGAGTTGATAGAAAATGGTTTCCATATTTACCGCTCTATCACTTCTATCTTTGAATAGTAATTAATCGCTTACAGGTTTAAAGAATGATACATTTATAATAAAATAAATCCATCAACGTTAACTTAAGACTAGGCGAGCTATATATAAAATATTGCGATCACGTGATCGAACAATAGTTAGTTGCAAATAGTAGAGGAAAGTCACCCAATATGGAATACCATTTTGTTTCAGGGATATAAAAAAAAAAACTTCATAGAAACTAAAACAGTTTAATGTAATTACTAATCAGTCAGACATTTATCTTTAGTAATTAACAGCCTTTAATCAAATATATTAGTTACCAAATTAAAATCTAACACAAAACCAAAATCACAAATGAGTAACCAAATATGGAATAGGTACCCATATATGGAATATAAGCATAAATCATCATATCAATAACAAAAATAGGCATAAATATCTATGAGATCAAATAAATTAAAATAACATATTGTTATAAAAACGAACGAAGTTACTAAATTCACTTGCAAAAGTCACAGATCCAAGTATCAAACTCTGGACCAGCACAATCATAATGTGCCCAGAGTCCACACATCAAGCATTTAATTCAGCTTTCTCCACTTTTATCCATGGAGAAAAGGTTTGAACAGAACATACATTCTGCATCAGCAGAGTCAGGAGATACTTGGTCCATCAACTCATCATGTTCACTGTCTTCATCAAACTGGATGACGTCCCGTTCCTCAGAGTCTTCTTCTTCACGATCATTTCTATTTTTCTTCGTTTGTTGTTTTCTCTTCGCAGTTTTCTTCTTATTCTTTGTCTTACTTTCTTTTTCTTGTCTCTTCATATTTTTATTTACTAAATAATTTTTGTAGGGTGAAGATGTTATGACTGTTGCTATAGCAGCTTTTCTTTCAAAATTCTGTGCTGCTTTCAAATATCCCATTTTATTTCCCCGGACGAATTTTATAGCTTCTGCCATTTTTTCTTCATCCCAGGTTTTTCGTTTCTTGGTTGATTGTGAAGCAGACATTCTAAAAACAAACATAACATAATTTTTTTAAAGAAATAGTAGCAAGTACCTAACATGTGAAATATAAAGACCTAATTATGGAATATTCCATAATTAGACACCGACGACTGTCCATATTTGGATTTTTATACTTGTTTAAAATCATCTAAATATTTTTTCAAATCACAATATTTTAATGACAGAATATCACAAAACGTTGAAATAAACATAATATCGATATACTAAATAGTAAAACACCTATATATACATACGTAATAACTGGTAATACTCAATTATTACTAACCTTTAAAATTTTCTGCGTGACAACAAAACAAAAAACACCGGCCACACACTTGTAGCGTTCGCGCAACTGACACGATGGTGTGAGTGAGGTAGTAAATAGACCGAATGAAACAGAAGATGGTCATGTGTTTCGTTTCATACTTATATTCTTAGAGAAATTGCTTTATTCCATATTAGGATACTATTCCATATTTGGTGACTTTCCTCTAGTTAATTGGAACGCGAAGTTGGTAAATAAAATCGATTGCGACAAATGCAATTTTGATACGTTTATCACTCCGTCACGCTTGGGAAATTGTTCATAATACGCCGCGGACCTTTTCAGTCGACGGACGAACGGACAACCGCACACGGACTTTTATATAGCGGCGCTCGTAACTGGAAGCGGTGCCGGTTCCACCGTCAGTCGATAACATGCCGTCCAAAGCCAACGTCACGCTCAACGCTCTGATTTTCCTCGTCTTCGTCGCGTTCGCGAACGTGCTGAGATTCCCCGCGTTCCCGATCAACGAACAGACGAAGCGTTCGCTCGGCTACCCGGGGGACTCCCTGTTGAACTTCACCGAGCTGACCGGTCACTATGGTTACGCATCAGAGGAGCACAGCGTCGTGACCGACGACGGATGCGTTTTGAGGTTGTTCCGAATCACCAGGGGGAGGAAGCATCGAGGTAGGACCAGACGGCCACCCGTAATACTGATGCACGGTCTACTGCAGAGCTCCGACGCCTGGCTGGACGCGGGCCCTGAAGCCGGCCTGGCGTATCTCCTAGCGGACGCCGGATTCGACCTGTGGGTCGGCAATGTCAGAGGCAACTACTATTCCCGCGGCCACGTGCGCCTGGATGCGGATAAAGACGCGGAGTACTGGCAGTTCTCCGTTGACGAAATCGGTCGGCACGACGTGCCCGCTACGATCAACTATGTGTTGAAGTATACTAATAGCGAAAGAGTGAACTATATTGGATTTTCCCAAGGTGCTGGGACCTACTTCGTCATGTGCTCGGAGAGACCGGAGTACTGCGACAAAGCTCGGGTTTTGGTTGCCCTAGCGCCGGCCGCTAGGCAGACGAACACGAAGTCGCTACCATACAGGACTTTAATGGAGAGCGTTCGAAGTTTGGAGGGCGTTCTGAAGCTGTCTGGCGTTCAGGAAGTGTTTTCTAAAGGCGCGCTTAGCCAAGAGTTTCTTGCTTTCTTCTGCCAATTCAGTTGGCTTACGGAGTATGTGTGTGGTATCGGTGAGGCGTTGTTCGACTCCTTCCATCCAGGCTCCATCAGGAACGAGACCTTACGAACGCTCTTCGGCCACTTCCCCGCAGGGACTTCTGTCCACAACCTGGTTCGTTACGGCCAAAGCATGCGAAGCGCGAAATTCGAGAAGTTTGACTACGGGAAAACTAAGAATTTGGAAGTGTACGGAAGCAGTCGTCCCCCCGAATACAACTTAAGCGCTGTGACCCTGCCGGTGATGGTTTTGTACGGGGAAAGTGATCATTTGGTGGACCCTAAAGACGTGTTCTGGCTGGTAAGCAAGCTTCCTAATGTAGTGGAAACAGTAAAAGTTGACGATCCACTTTGGAACCATTTGGACGTGACGTACAGCAGCCTAACGAAAGATAGAATCTTTCCAAAAATTTACGATATTTTGCTAAAATATAGTGACTGACTGTATTCTTGTACTATTTTTCTTTGGTGTTATAAGTAATTTAATTTTTTTACAATGTCATGAGGTGTTTAAGGCAAGTCGCAAAACGATTATGAAAAAATAAGTTTTACTGAAAACAAAGAAATGGTGGGATAAAGACATTAGAGTTTGTAGAAAGAAAATATGCATATATGATGGGATCATAAATTTAGTTGTGGCATTTGGTTTTTTAGTTTGGTTTTTATCTTAGAGTTCTAGCATATATTTAAGGATCTTATTCCTCTGGATTACCTGATTTTCTTCGGTTCGCGTTTTTCTTAATATCTCGTCAAATATTCTCCCATTTATCGTTTTACTTCCAATGAATTCTGTTAGTCCAATAAACTGTATTAATAGGTAAACCACATTGAATGAAACTAGGGTCAGAGGTCATCAGAGTTTATAATTTAAAGTACCGTAATTGTTGAATATTTCAATAGAGACAATCGTTTTCTTTAACACTCGTATAAATTATTTGCATTATTTATTATTTAATTCATACTGGGACGTATCCAGTGTTCGAAAGCGGAAGATAAATTCAAGAGCGCGACATTGGGCAGCGTTTACAAGATCGAGTGATGTAATTTATCGAATAATGGGCAAAATTATCCTGCCGATGTCCTTTGTTACCCGACTCTGTGATGAAGCAGCACGATTGTCCCATGATTTTATTAACATAACATTTTCCAGATAATATGCATGCAGTAAGGAAATTTAATAACACGCAACAGTCTCTACTCAATTAGGTCACGCTGTATCTATTTCCCTACATATACCGTAACTGTTAAGTATAGGGAATGCATTGGTAGAGCCACAGCTCACGTGGATAGGAAGTGATTACATTTTGCATTGCGTATGGTAAGATCGGTAAACAGAGACCACTAATTGCAATGTTGACAATATAATTGCAAATCAAGAAGTGGTCGATGTCGTTGAGCGGTGTTCATGCCTGAAACACATGATCATATGCTACCGTCTGTAAAATCATAATCGACAACGACTCGATATGGACGGCCAAGGAGTTCAAATTTTTATACCGATTTTTTTCACTTAATATGAAACATTAGTAATTTCTAGAATAAAGAACGAAGTGGTTTTCGCCGCTAAGGGAGTCGAACCCATGTTTAAGGTTACTTTGTATTGGTAGATATCTCTATCACACAGTGGATTGAGTGTTTGTGATATTCTCATTGTAAGGAAATATTCTACAAAACAAGCCAGTTTTACGAATATGCACAAATGACATTTATTAATAGCGTTCAGGAAATGCGCTCCAAGTGCATATATTTTTATATGCATTTGTATCAAAACCGGATTGGATATTGACATTTAATAAAGAGCGATAAACACCTTTTGAACTAGAAACCGGGGGTTAATAAAAAATCATACTTAAATTATGATATTTTGATTATGCGCAATAAAGATCGTACCGGTTAAGATTCAATATCTCCTATATCCAGATAAACATATCAGAATGGTAAAATGTGCACTTTATATATCGTAAGGGTCGACATATACTCTACAACGGGCATTTCAAGTTTGTTACATGTTTTGGCGGAATACTATAGTGATAGCATTGTTACTCATAATCTTTCGCCGGTTGTTAATAAATATACTCGTAGTCTAGAGGTAAAGCTATCATCTGAATATAAATTTTTCAATTTAAAGTCGTAAAGAAATAATAAGCCGTTATGGATTACCATAATGGCTTGTTTCTTCACTTTAAAAAAAAAGGAGGAAGAAATCGCTTCCGTAAATAATCATATTATTGTTAGGGGAGAGGTCTGTCATCTTCTTAAGACTTGAATTAATTTATATTATATTTGATTAATAGTTGTCTATTGTCTTAGAGAGCACAAACTCAAAGTCAAAGCTAAAATTTCTTTATTGAATATAGATTTATTTTAAGCTCAGTGTCCGGGCGCTCGCCTTTAATTCAATATACTCGAGCAACCCGATTTCTATCCCCGGTGCCTTGGAAATTTTAACAAAATAAAATATTTCAAAGACATGTGAAGTCCGCCAACCCGCAGTGGGGCCGCTTGGTGGACTATGCCTTGATACCCTCTGTACATAGGAGACCTTTGCTCAGCAGTGGGATATGTAAAGGCTGTACCGACGACTTTACCGTTCTTTACTTTATTTTAAGGTCTTATACTAGACCTGTCCCGAGAAGAACCGGCTAAAAAGTCTGCGTAAAATTTTTGTTCACGGAAATCGGTTACTTCGTACATTATACGTAAGCAATAGTCCATTGGCTCGGTGTTGCTTAACTTTTTACGGTTGACCAGCTCCAACAAAACAACTGATGCGTACGTCGGTTCATTCGTGAAAACTAGTATGGAATTGTTATAACAAGCAAACTATAGACCGTAGAAACGTGTTGTGAACTACCCACAACTTCTTTAATTGTATCTCGAAGTAGCAAATTTCTAATTCCCGTAGGCAGAACCTTAAGGGCCTTCTGCCCTTTAGCAACTTCAGTGATGTCGCCAGTGTCCATTACCACCCAGCAGTGGTGACCGCTTATTAGGTGAAAATCATTGTCACCTTTCATAAAATCATCTGATGGTATACGTTCAAATATAGTAAAAAAGTGTTTCACAAATGTTTGTTATTGGGTGTCAAGCTATTCGTCTTCAGACGGTTCTCGATATGTACAAGTCATAATTTCAGCCGTTTCTTGTCAGTGTAATTCATATATGTAAAATCAACTTTATAGAATAATTTTACTATAAAGAAGGTATAAAGTTTTGTCAAAAAAATTAGGCTGCGGAGTACAGGACTAGGTAAGTTAGTTTATGAAATACGCCAACAAAAAGTAATTTAACTCGGAACATTACCAATTGTAGACAAACGTTGCGTTGATGATATAAAAAAAAATAGTGGCCTTAGTGGAAACAACTTAACTTGAGGATGAAATATTAATAATAATAATAATTCTTTATTTTCTCACCACAGTATGTATCACAATAGTATTTCAAAAGGTGGATGTACAAATTAATTTTCATATTGTGGGAGACTGATGCACCAAAACTAAGGTCAAGGCTTGTATTATTGGGTCATCAGGTCCCATCTCCTTATAAATTTGACAGTGTGTTTGCAGTTTAAAAGACGTATCTTTCAAAGACATTTACAATTTCCATTTTAAAATGAGAGTTAATGATAAGTGAACATACATATAAATTAAAATTAAATCTAACACTTAACACTTAACTGTTAATATTTCCAAGATTGGCCGTTTTCATGGTTGAATTCCACTTCAAATATCAAACGTTTGGTTTACATTTCATGTTTACCAAGTAGCGTTGTCTTGTGAGCGAGTCAATGAAGTGAAACTACAATAACTGATACAAAGTATGAACTCTAGGGAGGTCACCGATTTCTCTATCCAATTGAAGTGTTATCAAACTACGCTATATCAGAACTATGGCAAAGTTACTGCCATTAATCTAAATTAGCTTGCAAGTTTTTATCCGTTTATGACACGCACATCAATGATATACTCACTAGTTAACAGATTTTTCCGTCACACACGACCACTTTGTGGGACCATAAGTTGCCGCCAGTACTATTTTCCGGACCAATACGAGTCCAATGAGACCAATACTAGACCTTCAAGAAGACAGCCTATTCCAAAGACCAGCCTCCTTTGTCTTTGTGTTGTCTATGTCTATGTTGTTGAAAAAGTTCTATCTATTTTTCATGGACTTTATAGTCTCAACGGCTTGGATCGAGGACATGCCCTTTGCACTGTTTACGTGTGACGAGTATAACAGTCTCGAATACCAGAATTGAATGGAACGGTGACTGAATGTAATGCAAATGTCGCCTCTGGGATTCGAACTTAAGACCGTGAGTAAACCTTTCAGTCAATAAGCCGGCACTGTTTAGTAACACCGGTGCCGGCCTATTGAAATAATAAATCATATTTGCATATTTTTTTATTATTTACGTCACGATTGTTTTTCGCGTTTTCCGACATGAAAAAACTTTACGTAAAGAGTTTTTGTATATAATTAATTAATTATGTACAAAGAGTATTTAAATAATTGAATATTACATGGAAGACTCATGGTTGGGAAGTAGGCAGTACGATAAAATCTACAAGGACCTACCATTTTGATTTTACAAGCATAAGCATCATGTTATTATGTTATTTATATATATTTACATTTCATCTGTATGGTTGTAAACACGCCACGGCAAATGTCATGCACTTGATCCTAACGTGTTGGGTTCTTGAGTTAAGTATTTACTAATAAACGATGCCACTTGGCATTTATTACTCGTTATTTCCTTAACTGCCTTTTGCAATAATGAACGTCACCTCCGAAGATGGACGTTTCGACGGTCGAATGGCAACGGTTTATAGAGATTAACTTACACTTCTGGAGATTTTATAATGAAAATCCATTCGACAAGTAAGGAATGCTGTGGTAGGGTCACAGAACAGCTTCGGATGTTGCGCGAATGGGCAGGTCCGTCCGGGTAAGTACCACGACCTCACAGAAGACCGGCGTGAAGTAGAACTGTTATGCTCGTGAATGTCGTCTGGTGAGTGGAGTTTTTTTTTATTTTTTGTATGCCAAAAGGGGCAATCAAGAGGCTCACCTGATGGTTTTGCTGCCATGTCCGATGGTGAAATTTCGCCGCTAGTATCAATCCAAACAGTTCCTCGGAGCACCCAAGTGATATATGCTGTAGAAGATACAGAGTGATCCAAATACTCTACGCAGAGTCAAAGGATCGGGCCGATTGGAATGACCGTGATCGTCTGAATTGTCCTACGAGAATTGGGGTCAAATGGGAGAAGCTGGTAATGGGGGGCTCCTGCCCAGAAATGAGAACAGTACTCCATGTGGGGCTGAATTTGCGCCTTATAGAGCCTTAGGCGTTGAGCCGACGTAAAATACTGTCTCGCCATGCTGAGAACACCAAGCTTCTTTGAGGCCAATTTTGCCTTACGTTCCAACTGT